CATGGAAAAGATGGTCAAATAGATTTATACAAATAATATGCCTATACAAGGTGATAGAATATAGATAAATTATACCAATGGTACATGTCGATATTCATGATTAGATGTACCAAGACCAACACACAAGATGGTGGGATGTACTGGGGGTAAGGAAGAGCAAATAGAACTCCCCCAACCCGCCTCCAAAAGAAAACCCTTGGTTATATCAACGACATTCAGTCTTCCCTTAGACAAGCATTACAGCAGAAATTATTAACATCATTGTTTCAAGGTTCATTTATTTTCTCTTATACATTCAAACATTAACAATGTATTTAATATATTTTACAGAGTTAGAGTAGACAAGGGGGCCCATTAAGCACAGCTAATAAATTGGGTCACCTTTAAACTATGATTTGTTTTATTGCGTACAACACCTATACCAGTTCCGTAGCGTGGGCTCACTCTTGTTAGGGGGCAACAGTCTTTAGTTTACTAGATCAGTCTCTGTCAACTATTTTTCAGTCACGGCACCCTTTTGTTTAAGGAATTATAAACTTCGCGTCACCAAATCCCGAATTCATCACACAAGATACACTTTGCATCACTCTGGTGCTCGTCTTTGCCCAGGTACACACGTACGGGTATATTTGTTCTAAATTTTGCGAGTGAGTGAAGCGAGTGAGCCAACAAAACTGACATTATTATGGTAAACAATTTGTTGTTATCAACGCATTAACATAAGGCATACAATAATGTATCCGGGCACCTCGCAGAGGAATATCCATGAATATATAACCTCATATTCGGTTACCTCTATACACGAATATGAGGCTATTCGGCCATCTGATAGCCCAAAAATCGCAAGTGAGTAAACTCAGTAAAGCGAATGAGCGTCGTAAAAATGTTATTCCAACAAAAAAGATGCGAGATATTCGGGTACCTCCCTGACAGTAAAAGGATTTTCGGGCACCTCGTTGCCCACTTACGGAGATATGCACGTACTTGGCTACCAGTAAAATCATCCTGTTTCTAAATGTTGCGAACGAACGAGGAAGAAATACTCTTTGTTATCTTCAAAATGCTCTTTCCCCGTGAAAATACTTACTCTCGCAGTTTCTAACCTTCAGTTTCATGAAATCGACGATATTCTATCAATATTATTGGATATAACCTAATATCTCTTGTGGCAATCTTAGAGATGTCTTGCGACACCCCGGTTGAAAAACTCTGTACTAAATGTATCCAAATTTGAGTGGGCAGATTGACCAGGCCGAGAGGGAATAACGTCATTGCCTCTATAGATTGGGAGATGTTGCATTTTAATGTAAAACGGACATACATACATACTCTCTGTGTGCCTCTTTTCCAGTATAACTTTTATATTTCATCTCCCTTTCTTTTTCTTCTCTGATATATGATACATCGATGACGCAAATCTGATCACCCCAAACCATTTTCGATAATTTAACGAAAAAATAGGGTATTAACAGGATGATGTGAGCTTTTACAGCTACATGTAACATCTACCTGTTGTTATTACCGTACTGATCAATACATTGGATTTATATATATTTATGCAAGTAGATCGCGTAGGCTCTAATGTGCTTTGATTAAACTTTAACAACTATTACATAAAACACATTCTCATTGAAAATACTGTATTTGAACTTTATGTCGACCCTAGATACTCACGTTATTGTTTGAAACTATCACCAGAAATACTTATCCAGGAGTTTGCAGTATATTCCTATATTTATGCACTGGACGAACATAGTATGGCATCCCGCCAAGTAGAACTAGAGCGTATACAGAGCTTTACACATATTCGTACATATTGATTTAGAATATTTCATACGCTGTGAGAAAAATGTATTATTATATTCAGTGTCTGTGATGTCAACCTTGTTTTCTTTTCTGTAACACAATACCCAACGCTATTTTCACACCTCTTCCCTTTTTTTCTCTTTCTCATTTTCACCTCTTCCATTTGTTGGAATTGCTCTTGTGTGATTATATGCGTTTTGGGGTGTGTGTGTATATACGTGGTTGATACCTGTTGTAGTTGATGGTCGTTTTTTTTTTATTCCTAAATTTACATATTATATACCTTGTATGTTTTATTTCTTTTGTGATTTAATTTAATATTATGTTAACCTTGATAGGCGCCTCATTAACAAGCACAAGTTGCTTCTGAGAGGTCCTGGGCATATTATGTATTCTGTATTTAAGATTTTCGAATTTTTGTATAATGCCAAATAAATGGAAATTATTTATTTATGAGAATATTAATCAATAACATTATAAATAGAGAATTAAGGAAACCTATACGCAAGTAAGCAGTTTTGGCAGGTATTTTTGGGCCATGAGATTGGGGGAGTTCACCTATCCCCGAACCCCGTAGCTACGTCATTTATACTTACACATACACAAATACACATACACAAATACACCCTCTCTCCACACACACACACAAACAAACACATGGTAGCTACCCGATATAAGATGAATTAGATAGAAGAATAAAATTGGAAAAAAAGAATTCGGTTAACATTGAAAATTTCTAACAATGAAATATACTATTCAATGCAGGTGCCAAGAGACCACTTTGCAGATTTGTTCAGATTTTGCAAATATACGTGATCCAATTGCTTTCCTTTCCGAGAAAAAAAAAAGGCTTCATTTAAAAAAATTGTTTTACATGTTCTTGAGAATACGACATAAATGTACATGTACGACACCAATAACAAGACCATCGATGCTCCGTACACAGGCGGTGATTTTAAGAAAGAAATGGCGTATATTTTCTTGTTCGGGTCTTGTACACACTTGTGGCAGGGTTTCTTGGAAATAAACCTTTCATCCTATTTTATCTTATATTTTCTTTACAGAAAATATATCGATGTTACTTTGTTATTGACAGAAACGCTAAAGATGATATGTATCACACAGAGTTCATGATTATGGGGAAAAGTATAGTAGGCATAGCACACCAAAAATAAGTACAACAAACACATGTTATTTGATGATTGCAAATGATCAAGCTTTATGAAAGCTTCAAAAATAAAAAAAACAGAATTGAAATTGGTCAATGCGTTGGATTTTATACCATTTTTTTTTTTAAATCGCAAAATTACCGAAAAACCTGCCAGAAATGGCCAAATTGGCAAAAATGGCAAAATTCGACAAAGTTGACAACTTAATTCATCACTTTCTCGGACACAAATAATAAATTAAATTATCAGACCCTAAAATATTATCTTTGTGGTAAAAAATACAAAAAAGGAAATTCATATATCTATTACCGTTTTAAAAACAGAAGCCAACAAAGTAAGTAATTTTTGTCATTTTTGCGAATCTGCAGATATGAAAAAGTTGTGAAAATAACTAAGTCCGCCTAATTAATATGCGCATATGTAATCAAATCAAAACCGAACATGATACATCAGTGAAACCTATGTATATCAGACAAGTATGGAAATATATTTCATTTAAAATTTTCAAAAAATCATGAATATTCATCAAATATGCAAATTAGGTCATTTCAGCTAATTATATATTCGCGCACTCATTATGCAAATTAGGAATGTCAAACTGTTCATTTTTTTGCATTTTTTAAAATTATATATCCATAGATTATAGTTACACCAAATATTAACCTTGAATTCCAAATATTTTTGCAATGCCAATAGAATATGGCGATGGAAATTACTTGGATCACCGTCACAGCTATTTTCTCATGTGTTTCACAAATTATTCAGAAAAACCGATCATATGATAAGAATCTGTAGACTTTCAGCTACATCACAGTATATTTGGCTATTTAAAAGATGTCGGATTTGAGGATTTATGACGATTTTCCGAGAAACCATTTAACAGGCCATAACATTCCACAGGGACTGAATTTCAGAGTACAAAAATATGTGGTGACCCCAGTACAGTTGTGGCTACCTTGAGTGTAATTGATTTAATGAGTGAAACACATGAGGATATTGCATTTTTGTAGGGGAGTTTTATACATTGAGGTGCATTTTCACCATGCAGAATAGCAGTGTGAGTCAATGGGCGATCAGCGGGCCATGTCACACATGGCTGAAAAGACAATATTCTAATTGAATAATTTAACATATATCCCACATGCCTATAACAACGAAACAACACAAAATCGTAGTTAAAGGTATGCTTGAAATATATGTGAAATATAAATTTAAAAATATTGTTTAGTTTTTAAAAAATAAATTTACAAAAATGGCTATTTCTACCAACTGACTGCTGCTGTGTGTGTGTGTGTGTGTGTTCGTGGGGCAGATTGTGTACACAGGCAGTATGATCACCCTACTAATACTAGTATAACGATTTAATGATAGTAATAATATTTATAATTTAGGAGCGCTAACAGCAAAAAGTGCCATATTGCTTAGTTGCCATAGTGCCAATTTGAAGAGAAAACAAAAAGACTAATAAATGAAATATGCCTATACACTTTATAATTTTATAAAGAATGAGAAAGGAAATAATGAACTGACTGGAAAAAAGTAAATGTATACATGATTATGAATGGAAAGCACATAGTAAAACTAAATACAGCCTTCGAGCCTACAATGCTCTGTAAACAGTGACAAGGAATAGATAATAAAACAATTAAAAATGAATCATTAGGTCTTATTCATTCAGGGTAGCCACATCAGTATTAATACTGCACTCCCTGCCTCCCCTGTAATTATCATTACCCCAGCAATTGCCGGGTACCATTTACACCAGGGGGTGTTTCACAAAGATCCTAAGTTGGACTTAACAATTATGAAAAGCCATTAGCATCCTTGAAAATGTTTTGTAAAAGTTATTTTAAAAGGCATTAAATGTTGATTCATATCATTTATATTTTCTATTATCATGGGAGATTTCATGTTCTTGATGTGGAATAGTCTAAAATACTTGAAATTTTCTTTTGAATATATCTCATTGTAAGGCTACAAATGGCTCTCCACACTATTTAAGTCCAACTTAGAGTTAAGTTTGACTTAGAATCTATGTGAAACACCCACCTGGATGAAGAATCACAAATGTGGATTGATGTCTTGCAAATGGACGTTAGTGGCGGGCTGGGATTCGAAACCCTATACCTTTGAATTTAGAGTCAATGAAATAAAACGATGTCAATTCATAATTATTGCATAGATAAACGTACATTTTCCTCTCCCTTTGATTGAAGAAAACCTAATCATAACATGAGTTTTTTTTATTCATCATTTTCTCTCAGGGCTTCCTCTCTTTATAAGCTATATGGAAAGTTTCCAATGGCATTTTTTTATTCATCGAAAGTGACAGTACATGGCTCAATTATTAATTTGAATCAATACTGATAATTAAATGATGAAGAATGAAGAAAGAACGTTTGTATAATATGCTAAATCTGACACGTACATATCGATACAATTGATAAATTTATATATATATGTATCTGCAACTATTATGGAGATATATACTTTTAGAATTGACCCTCGATTTAGGCCTACGGATGAAATCTTCTACAAAAATAGTGTCTAATAGTACAATAAACTCTCCGATATTTTCCTTTCGAATGTTTCTTTTACAAATTTTTTTCATATGTACATTTCCGTCCTAACACAATCACGGCGATCTAGTACCTCCATCTTCATATCCGTTCGCGAGGTGGCGCTCTCCCCCTCATGATCTGGGCTCGCGCTCGTCGCCGTCCTCGTGCTCAATCTCGATGACGTTCTCTGCGATGGACGGCCGGCATTCCTGGCCTGAACCACAGATATATGAATGCCTTTCACGATATCTACATATTCTTCATGCAATTCTGCCAAGTTGGTGGCGATTCTCCGATCAACCTGTAAAAACAACATAGTACAGAATGTTGAATTCTCATCCAATACTTTAACTTCTCTCTCTCTGTCTCTCTCTTTCTCTCTCTCTCTCTCTCACACACTTTTTTTTTTACTAAGCAATTTTGTTTTATTTCTCCAAATGTATAATACAAATTATATACCTCACTTAAGAAATCCAGCTATCTGATTGGTCGAAATTGCATTCATAAACTTTAACTATTTCTGTAAAATTCCCAGTAACCATGGTTAAAACAGTTCTAAAATCCCAGTAACCATGGTTACCGGGAAAATAGTTCAGTCTCCATGGTTACCCCATAGGTTTACATGTTAAAAAATGGTTTGAGCGATTGAGGATACCGTACGTGTGCGAAGAATTGGTCGGTATTTTCATACAAGACAAGACAATTCCAAACAAGACAAAAATGGCTCAAGAAACTCTCCAAAGATTTCAACTTATCAAATGCAAGACTCGCTGACAGCAAGAACAACAAAAAGGGTACGTGAAATTATCCATAAACATGTTTGTTTAGTTGCTGAAAAAGCATAGACTTAGACTCTAGACGAAAATAGATCTAGTTGTCAGGGTGTCTGATCGTGCACCCGATGTTGTGTGTTAAAATTCTTCTCATAGAGTTTGCACGCAATGCAGTCGCTATGCAGTGTACGTGCATTGCGCGATCATGCAAAAAAAGTCTTTTTTTTTTTCAATTCGAGATTAAATCCTTTATCTGTTGTGATCGATCCTGAAGGTGATACTCAATAAGTGAGGTGTCATATGAAAGCGCAGGTTCTTCTCCATATTACCCACAGGGCCGGCCCACCCCCGAAATTGTAAAAATATCTTGCTTAGACTAGAATCTAGCTCTAGTCTACTCTCAAAGATACACTCATAAAAAACAACTGTGCAGATAAACTAGAGAAAGGCCAAGGTGGTGTCATTAGTTGACTCTTTTGTTTTCGGCATATAAAAGTATTAATGACTGCTTTAATATTCGAGAAATAGTTGTTTTTATACGCTCTCGGTTACAATTGGGCTATTGCCCTCGGCACGCCTCGGGCAATAGCACCATTCTAACCTTCCCTTGAGCGTATAAAAACAACTATTTCTCTCAAAGCAGTCATTAATACTATACTGTAACATACAATTAAATGAAATAAACGTGTTCAATATTGATTGCTTTTACATAAAAATAATTAAACAAAAACTTATTTGCAGTATATATATAACTTAGCAACAAAGAAAACGTATAAAAACCTAAACATAATATATATATGTCAATTGTAAATGTTATTCACTTATATAAAACAAAAAATTAAACAAATATGGAGGTAATTTTTACTGGAACAATGCCTGCTCCTACCTGCCCCTTCCCTGCCCCCTCCCTCACACAAACAACCCCACCCAACCACCCACACACATGTGTGTAGGTGGGTGGGTGGGGTGTTTATGTGAGGGAGAGGGCAGGGAGGAGCAGGCATTGTTCCAGTAAAAATTACCTCCAGATCTTTTTATTTTTTTAATATAAGTGAATAACATTTACAATTGACATATATGTTTAGGTACTTATACGTTTACCTTTTTGCTAAGTTATATATACTGCAAATAAGTTTTTGTTTAATTATGTTCATGTAAAAGCAATCAATATTGAACACGTTTATTTTATTCAATTGTATGTTATGGTTTGTATTATAGATTTGGAGAAATAAATCAAAATTGCTACCTTTACTACTCTGTTCAGTTCATCATCACACACACACACACACGCACGCACCCCCACACACACACACACACACACGCACACACACGCACACACGCACACTCACGCACGCGCGCACACACACACACACACGCGCGCGCACACACACACATGCCCACATCTGATCATTCTGTTCACTTCATCTTTAATTTCCTCATCCTCGCATATGAAGGGTTATTACCTCATGTATGATCGAACGAGCCCCATAATCTACGTTGTAGCCAGCGGCCAGTACTTTCAAGACAGAATCGTCCCATGACAATTTTATTTTATGTCTGCTTCTTGCCTGCAAATGGAGAAAACAAACATAAGATCTGCTGATAATGAACTTTATAACTGCTGGTGCTACTCCTACTCTTCCTACTCCTACTACTACTACTACTACTATTTATATTACTACTTCTGATGATAGTACAACTGCTACTACTACTATTATTATTACTACTTGTACTACTGCCACTATACTTCTATTACTACTACTACTACTACTACTACTACTACTACTACCTATACTACTACTGCTGCTTGTAATGATGCCACTATACTTCTATTATTATTATTACTAGTACTACTGTTGCTGCTGCTACTGCTGCTACTTCTGCTACTACCACCACATTTACTATTACTACTACTACTACTACTACTACCACTACTACTACTACTAATATTACTACTGCTACTACTAATATTACCTCCGCTGATGGTACTACTACTACTACTAACTGACAATGTTATTGTATTTATTCAGGGACAACTATGGAATTAAAATTCCTTATGCAATTATATGGCTTAGAGTGAAAAATTAATGTAGTAGCTAAGTGTGATCTAGTGATTTAGTTGTTAACTCACGATTTTTGACCATTTATCCATCTCTCTAGTAACGAGTTGAACAAGGTCATCCTCGGTGAATGGTAGGAAGAAGACAGTCTCGTTGATTCTGCCTAGGAACTCATCTCTCTTAAAGTGCCTTTTGAGGATAGGCTGGATGACGTTTTGCTTGAAGTTGTCGGGAATTTTCACTTGTCCTATTTATTAAAATAATCATAAGTCATCGGGAGATATTGTTTCGTTCAGATTCAAGATTCAGATAATTATTCATATTCAAAACACGATTCCTCCTTTTGGTATTGAATAAATATTATGACGACTATCAATGTAAGAAGAATTAAAAAATGGTGATGCTTTTGATCGGATCGCTATAATGATACATACATACAAACATACGGATGGCCACCTCTCTTTAAAGGCCAACTGTCTATAGTGACCGTGTAATTTGTCTCCCACGAGAAAGGCTACTTGTCTACAGTGGCCACTTTCTCTGTTTGCAATGGTTGGCCCCAGTAGACAGGAGTGACCGAATACGAAAATACTTTTACTAACATAACTGAAAGTATGTGTCCGACATCGATACAAACCTGATCGCTTCTTTTCTTTCTTCCAGAAGTCTGTGATAGCATCACTTCCCAGGTTTGATGTCATGAAGAATAACGCCTCGTTGCACATAACAGTCTCCCCCTTTCCGTCTGTCAGTCTTCCCTTTGGAGAAAAATGGGGAAAACATCACGTCTCTATTTCTAAGTATGAGGTGTTGCCCAACAGAATATAAATGAAAATTGAATATAATGTACAATAAAATATGGAAAAGACTGACAAGGTAATGCCACGTAATATATCTCAACCGATCGGAAAGAAAAGCAACTAGATACCTCATCAAAAAGCTGCAACATGATGGTCAGAACATCACTGTGGGCTTTTTCAACTTCATCAAACAGAACAACAGCCTTCGGAGTCTTCTTTAGTTTCTCTGTGAGTTGACCACCGGCATCATGATTACAGTAACCAGGAGGAGCCCCGATAAACTTGCTAACTTCATGCCTATTTTGATATTCGGACATGTCGATTCTGATGAAAGCTGTCTCTTTTAGTTTCAAGTGAGTCGAAACCGCTTTGGCCATCTCAGTTTTCCCTGGGAACAAGGGAAAATTATTAGAAATTGAAACAGTAATATAGAGAGTGGAACTAAAATTTGAACTAAAAAATGGAATTATAATATGAGAAATTCAATTAATAATTTCTTACTACCGAAATTAAAAACATGTTTTAAGAAGAGAGTTTCCGCTATTTCGGTGCGAAGCGCTGGAACTCTATTTCACAAGAACTTAAACGTGAGTTATATATTATGAATTTTAAACGCAATCTCAATATTGAATTCTGAAATAGTTAAAATACACAAGTGGTTCCTTGTCAATAAATTGTTGATTAATTTTGAAAAAACAAACTATGTAATTTTTAAAACAAGAAATAAATATGTAAACGAAGCTGCTATCAAGATTTGTATAAATAGTAAAGAAATTAAGCAAGTACACCAAGTTACTTTATTAGGCGTCATTATTGATGAAAACTTAACGTGGAAGGACCACATTTATTATATTTCTAACAAGCTGTCAAAGGTTATTGGTGTTTTAAATAGACTCAAAGATATTTTACCATTACGAATACTTGTACAATTGTATAACTCTATGATTTTGCCTTATTTTAATTATTGTATTATTGTATGGGGCAGCTGCGCTTCGTATCTGCTTCAAAAGCTATTTTTATTACAAAAAAGAGCCGTCAGGGTTATAACAAACTCATATTATAGAGCACATACAGGTACATTGTTTTTTAAGTTGAAGTTTTTAAAACTTTATGATCTATATTATATAAGTATTGGAGCTTTTATGTTCTCTTACATGTACAATATAACTACTTTACCTGATTGTTTTAATAATTATTTTATTTTTAATAGAGATATAAATCAATATAGTACTAGAAATATACACAAACTTTATGTTCCTTCATTTCGCTATAATTTGTCAAGAACAGTAATAAAATATAAAGGATCCATTATTTGGAATAACTTACCAGATTCTCTCAAAGCATGCCCAGCATTGTCTAGTTTTAAGCGTAATTTTAAACAAAAACAAATATCAAGTTACAATATACTTTTTTAGCTTTTATTAATTCTGCCTGTCCTTGTATGTGTGTTTATATGTCTTAGTTAATGTAATGTCTATATTGTCAATATTTTGCTTTTAATTACTGAAGATTTTACTTTTGGGGTTGTAGAAAAAGGGGACCAGCCTAGATAGGTCAATGGCCTTTTCTGGTCCCTCACATCCCTACTCCACCCATTAATCATTTTTAGTGTTACTGTTGTTGTTTTATTTGTTCTTATTATATTTTATATATATTGCATTTTGTATAATTGTATTTTGAATGTTATAATGATGTTTTTATTGGATGTGAAATAAATTGAACTTGAACTTGAGGTATATGGAATCAAGAGCCACTGATGAGAAGTCCCCATCCCCCTTTAAATATTTCATATGTATTTTTATTGTATGCTGTATTTGTTTTGTAAATATTTACTTTATCATTATTATGTTGTATTATAAATTGTATATATGTTATTTTGATATTGTATGTTTCATGTATATACACGGCCCTATGGAAGGAAGACCAGTCCGCGGGCTGAGGTAGGTAGATAAATAGATAAATAAATGAAGTGAATGAAATAAAACAGCCTTACTAATTTAGTAGTTGATATATATATATATATCAAAGACAACTGTTGATTACGATCAAATCCTGAAATATATTGCTACTATTGTAATATTTAATCAAGTCATTTTTCCCTTCCACATCACTCATTTTTTTGTAATGATGTTAGTTCTAAACAGTATGGTTAGGTTTTTAGTCCATTTCTTTGTTGTTGTTGTTTTTTATATTGTTTTTCCTTTGGTTTTGGATTTCGTTTTACTTTTCTTTCTTCGAAGAAAAACTTTGAATTCACCTTCATTATTGATATATTATTCGTAGTTAGTCCGCCTTAAAATTATTGGTACATGTATAGAGATCTTTAAAAATAATAGAATTTCAATATTTATATTTAGTTAATTTAGACATTGTGGAAAGCAGTTTTTAATCTAAAAATACAAATACAAATAGAATAAATAAATAAGCAAGATTAAAGCTCATTCCACACACACACACACACACACGCATACACACGTACACACATACAACATCTATTCTTAAACACTGGAGGATATTGAAATTAATTTTTGATCACCCTTGTTTTAACATCAACCAACCATCGTTTGTTCTTAAACTGAAAGTCGAGTGGTGTTTGCACTTTGCCCTAAAGTCTGCTCATCAACTCTATTTGAGAAATATAATCACCTAAGTGCAATATTAGAAATGGGTTGAATAAAGTTTGCAATCTAATGTTGATCCGTTATTGATGGTTATAGTATATATATATATATATAAGGTCACAGCGTGATAGATCAATTGACATACCAATGCCCGATGAACCCAAAAATAGGAATACCAACGGTTTTTCTGAGCTTTGCCAACCTAATTCCTTTCGTCTGATGGCTGGGATTGAGAAAATAGAAAGAAAATGGAAAGAGAAGAGAGAGAGAGAGACAGAGAGAGAGAGAGAGAGGGGGGGAGACAGAATAAAAAAGACATATACATGATAAAAGAATTGGGGGAAATACCGAAGTTAGACCGAAATTTACATATAGAATTTAATTTAATTCCCACTCCTGGCTGAACTAGTAAAACTATTCTATGACCTTTTTATCGATGCAATATTCAACGATCCATAGAAGAGTACTAGGTAATACACACACAAAAAATCATCTTTTATGAAATCTGCTTGATATTATCCCGTTACTTTTATTAATATTGAAATTGGTCTTCGCATAACTACCGAGGAAATGGTGAAATATTATAGGATTTATTATCATGATTATTATTAAAAGTCAAATTCAGATTAAAGTTTTGGATTAAGCTTACTACGATCCAGGCATGTATATTTCGTTTATTCAGACCTTATATAAATAAACAAAATCTAATCAGAACGGAATCAAACTCACTTTGAGCTACCAATGAGACTGCATGTTCTTGACCAACAATGTTCTCCTGTAGATGTTTTTCAAGATAATTTGGTTCCCTGTGTATGGCGAGTTCCATTGTTTCAAACTGTACAAAAGACAAAAAAACAAAAAAAAACAAAACATGGACGAGCATTTCGTCTGTTGAGAGCAGAATGGCCCCAAATAGACGATGACATTTTCACGGTTGGATTTTTTCTGCGATCTTAGCGTCCAAAATATGTCACTCAGGGATACTCACATAATATATAAAACGCAATCCTTAAAATCCCTTTCCAGTATGTTCTATACGTTATTATCCAGTTTACCGTACGTCATAATTTTGTTACAATGGAACATGCTACATGTACTTTAATCTCGTTTCCCCAATGATAATCATGAAAATCATTTATGTTTTCATATTTTAAAAAAATGTTTCTCGGAGTGTCAAAAAAGGAGAAAAAATGTCATAGCGATACCTCAGTCAAGCCAACGAGACCGACACGAGACCGACACCAGACCGGACAAAGAATTGCAATAATTTTTGGAGCCGGTGTGCGTTCGGTTTCGCGGTTTGACTGAGGTAGGTATTCATACAGGTATGATCTATACAAATACAATGTTTAAAATAACTAATCATTGGTCTGAGCATATTTAATGATTTCCCGCATGTATACTGTGAATGCTATGTTTCTCAACCCCCGTTCGTTCGTTCGTGTCTCCTTAGATCAAGATTAGTATCTTGATCTTCTGAGTAGTTGATACAACCGGCCGTGTCAGACACAACCCTGCGTCAAGGACATGTGTCAATAGGGACTTTTAGATTTGCGTGGACTGATACGTGTGACGTCCATTCAAGGCAGTGCATTAAAAGGACGTCGATCGTAGCAATCCCCATTGTTTTCGTGCGAATCTAAAAGTCCCAAGTGTCCGAGAGACTGCGCCTGTCATCTGTATAATCATCTATGCATTTACATGAATATCATTGAATGGTGCAGAGAAAATAACGCCTCGTGTGCAACAGGCATTACGTCATCAACAAAGTCGATACTTACACTTGCAAGAAGTTGCGTATGTGGGTCATCAAGATCACCACCAGTTGACATCAACTGTTGTTCGTGTCCATACGCCCCACAGGCCACATCATCCACGTGATCGCTAAATGCACGAGAAGGAGGAGACCGTACATCAACATATCGATGCTCATCACAATGAAGACAGTTCAACGACGTCCCAGGATTCGAGTTGAAACAAGAGCGACAAACCCAGTCATCAACGACTGCGTCCGATTCAGTAGCGCCGATCGGCTCATCTTCATCAGCATCTTCATCATCATCTTCAGTGTAATCAATACTTGGTGCTTGTGGGTTATTTGGCGTGAGGCAGACTGGACAGTGTGACATATAGATGCTGCTGTTGTAAGTACATCTTGAGCACGACCACTGACATTAATGAAAATGACAGAAAAATATACCATACTTATGAATGCGGGTGTAGAACTGTAGATTAAACTCGTTGGGTCGTTGCTGAAGATGTCAACAACAAAACTGAAATGGTGGTTCGCAAATCATGGCATATAAGTGAGATATCGAAAACGGATTTTTACTTGTTCTTGTTATGAAGCATGGGCGTTTCTCTTTTGTTGTTGTCATGATTACAATGTTAAGAAACTCCAAGTTTGGAAGCGCTTAGTGATTGAGCGCTATATTTAAAATGAGTATTGTTATTATCATTATTAATTGTCGATGTTTAGGGGATGATCCTTGCGGAAATTACCAAGAGATGTGTCTCCCACCCCGGCCCCTCTCGGAATGTTGCCCTGAAATACCCACCTCATCTTCTTGTAGAGCTGATACAAGTCTAAACTCTATCCGATCCGAATTGCAGGCTATGCATTTGGACCATTCGGTTAAATTGACGTAAGTGCAATGTTGGCAGGTCCACTCTGCTTCGGCCATTCCCAGTCTATGCGGACCTTTCACTTTTCATGGAAAAGATGGTCAAATAGATTTATACAAATAATATGCCTATACAAGGTGATAGAATATAGATAAATTATACCAATGGTACATGTCGATATTCATGATTAGATGTACCAAGACCAACACACAAGATGGTGGGATGTACTGGGGGTAAGGAAGAGCAAATAGAACTCCCCCAACCCGCCTCCAAAAGAAAACCCTTGGTTATATCAACGACATTCAGTCTTCCCTTAGACAAGCATTACAGCAGAAATTATTAACATCATTGTTTCAAGGTTCATTTATTTTCTCTTATACATTCAAACATTAACAATGTATTTAATATATTTTACAGAGTTAGAGTAGACAAGGGGGCCCATTAAGCACAGCTAATAAATTGGTTCACCTTTAAACTATGATTTGTTTTATTGCGTACAACACCTATACCAGTTCCGTAGCGTGGGCTCACTCATGTTAGGGGGCAACAGTCTTTAGTTTACTAGATCAGTCTCTGTCAACTATTTTTCAGTCACGGCACCCTTTTGTTTAAGGAATTATAAACTTCGCGTCACCAAATCCCGAATTCATCACACAAGATTCACTTTGCATCACTCTGGTGCTCGTCTTTGCCCAGGTACACACGTACGGGTATATTTGTTCTAAATTTTGCGAGTGAGTGAAGCGAGTGAGCCAACAAAACTGACATTATTATGGTAAACAATTTGTTGTTATCAACGCATTAACATAAGGCATACAATAATGTATCCGGGCACCTCGCAGAGGAATATCCATGAATATATAACCTCATATATATTCGGTTACCTCTATACACGAATATGAGGCTATTCGGCCATCTGATAGCCCCAAAATCGCAAGTGAGTAAACTCAGTAAAGCGAATGAGCGTCGTAAAAAGATGCGAGATATTCGGGTACCTCCCTGACAGTAAAAGGATTTTCGGGCACCTCGTTGCCCACTTACGGAGATATGCATGTACTTGGCTACCAGTAAAATCATCCTGTTTCTAAATGTTGCGAACGAACGAGGAAGAAATACTCTTTGTTATCTTCAAAATGCTCTTTCCCCGTGAAAATACTTACTCTCGCAGTTTCTAACCTTCAGTTTCATGAAATCGACGATATTCTATCTATATTATTGGATATAACCTAATATCTTTTGTGGCAATCTTAGAGATGTCTTGCGACACCCCGGTTGAAAAACTCTGTACTAAATGTATCCAAATTTGAGTGAGCAGATTGACCAGGCCGAGAGTGAATAGCGTCATTGCCTCTATAGATTGGGAGATGTTGCATTTTAATGTAAAACGGACATACATACATACTCTCTGTGTGCCTCTTTTCCAGTATAACTTTTATATTTTATCTTCCTTTCTTTTTCTTCTCTGATATATGATACATCGATGACGCAAATCTGATCACCCCAAACCATTTTCGATAATTTAACGAAAAAATAGGGTATTAGCAGGATGATGTGAGCTTTTCAGGCTACATGTAACATCTACCTGTTGTTATTACCGTACTGATCAATACATTGGATTTATATATATTTATGCAAGTAGATCGCGTAGGCTCTAATGTGCTTTGATTAAACTTTAACAACTATTACATAAAACACATCCTCATTGAAAATACTGTATTTGAACTTTATGTCGACCCTAGATACTCACGTTATTGTTTGAAACTATCACCAGAAATACTTATCCAGGAGTTTGCAGTATATTCCTATATTTATGCACTGGACGAACATAGTATGGCATCCCGCCAAGTAGAACTAGAGCGTAAACAGAGCTTTACACATATTCGTACATATTGATTTAGAATATTTCATACGCTGTGAGAAAAATGTATTATTATATTCAGTGTCTGTGATGTCAACCTTGTTTTCTTTTCTGTAACACAATACCCAACGCTATTTTCACACCTCTTCCCATTTTTTCTCTTTCTCATTTTCACCTCTTCCATTTGTTGGTATTGCTCTTGTGTGATTATATGTGTTTTGGGGTGTGTGTGTGTGTGTATATACGTGATTGATACCTGTTGTAGTTAATGGTCGTTTTTTCTTCCTAAATTTACATATTATATACCTTGTATGTTTTATTTCTTTTGTGATTTAATTTAATATTATGTTAACCTTGATAGGCGCCTCATTAACAAGCACAAGTTGCTTCTGAGAGGTCCTGGGCATATTATGTATTCTGTATTTAAGATTTTTGAATTCTTGTATAATGCCAAATAAATGGAAATTATTTATTTATGAGAATATTAATCAATAATATTATAAATAGAGAATTAAGGAAACCTATACGCAAGTAAGCAGTTTTGGCAGGTATTTTGGGGCCATGAGATTGGGGAAGTTCACCTATCCCCGAACCCCGTAGCTACGTCATTTATACTTACACATACACAAATACACCCTCTCCACCCACACACACACAAACAAACACATGGTAGCTACCCGATATAAGATGAATTAGATAGAAGAATAAAATTGGAAAAAAAGAATTCGTTTAACATTGAAAATTTCTAACAATGAAATATACTATTCAATGCAGGTGCCAAGAGACCACTTTGCAGATTTGTTCAGATTTTGCAAATATACGTGATCCAATTGCTTTCCTTTCCGAGAGAAAAAAGGCTTCATTTAAAAAAATTGTTTTACATGTTCTTGAGAATACGACATAAAATGTGCATGTACGACACCAATAACAAGACCATCGATGCTCCGTACACAGGCCGTGATTTTAAGAAAGAAATGGCGTATATTTTCTTGTTCGGGTCTTGTACGCACTTGTGGCAGGGTTTCTTGGAAATAAACCTTTCATCCTATGTTATCTTATATTTTCTTTACAGAAATTATATCGATGTTACTTTGTTATTGACAGAAACGCTAAAGATGATATGTATCACACAGAGTTCATGATTATGGGGAAAAGTATAGTAGGTATAGCACACCAAAAATAATTACAACAAACACATGTTATTTGATGATTGCAAATGATCAAGCTTTATGAAAGCTTCAAAAAACAAAAAACAGAATTGAAATCGATCAATGCGTTGGATTTTATACCATTTTTTTTTAAATCGCAAAATTGCCGAAAAACCTGCCAGAAATGGCCAAATTGGCAAAAATGGCAAAATTCGACAAAGTTGACAACTTAATTCATCACTTTCTTCGACACAAATAATGAATTAAATTATCAGACCCTAAAATATTATCTTTGTGGTAAAAAATACAAAAAAGGAAATTCATATATCTATTACCGTTTTGAAAACAGAAGCCAACAAAGTAAGTAATTTTTGCCATTTTTGCGAATCTGCAGATATGAAAAAGTTGTGAAAATAACTAAGTCCGCCTAATTAATATGCGCATATGTAATCAAATAAAAACCGAATATGATACATCAGTGAAACCCATGTATATCAGACAAGTATGGAAATATATTTCTTTAAAATTTAAAAAAAATCATGAATATTCATCAAATATGCAAATTAGGTCATTTCAGCTAATTATATATTCGCGCACTCATTATACAAATTAGGAAAGTCAAACTGTTCATTTTTTTTGTTGCATTTTTTAAATTATATATCCATAGATCATATTTACACCAAATATTAACCTTGAATTCCAAATATTTTTGCAATGCCAATAAAATATGGCGATAGAAATTACTTGGATCACCGTCACAGCTATTTTCTCATGTGTTTCACAAATTATTCAGAAAAACCGATCATATGATAAGAATCTGTAGACTTTCAGCTACATCACAGTATATTTGGCTATTTAAAAGATGTCAGATTTGAGGATTTATGATGATTTTCCAAGAAACCATTTAACAGGCCATAACATTCCACAGGGACTGAATTTCAGAGTACAAACAAATTTGGTGACCCCAATACAGTTGTGGCTACCTTGAGTGTAAATAACAAATTGATTTAATACGTGAAACACATGAGGATATTGCATTTTTGTAGGGGAGTTTTATACATTGAGGTGCATTTTCACCACGCAGAATAGCAGTGCGAGTCAATGGGCGATCAGCGGGCCATGTCACACATGGCTGAAAAGACAATGTTCTAATTAAATAATTTAACATATATCCTACATGCCTATAACAACGAAACAACACAAAATCGTAGTTAAAGGTATGCTTGAAATATATGTGAAATATAAATTTAAAAATATTGTTTAGTTTTTTTAAAAATAAATTTACAAAAATGGCTATTGCTACCAACTGACTGCTGCTGTGTGTGTGTGTGTGTGTGTGTGTGTTCGTGAGGCAGACTGTGTGCACAGGCAGTATGATCACCCTACTAATACTAGTATAAAGATTTAATGATAGTATTGATATTTATAATTTAGGAGCGCTAACAGCAAAAAGTGCCATATTGCTTAATTGCCATAGTGCCAATTTGAAGAGAAAACAAAAAGACTAATAAATGAAATATGCCTATACACTTTATAATTTTATAAAGAATGAGAAAGGAAACAATGAACTGACTGGAAAAAAGTGAATGCATTCATGATTATGAATGGAAAGCACATAGTAAAACTAAATACAGCCTTCGAGCCTACAATGCTCTGTAAACAATGACAAGGAATAGATAATAAAACAATTAAAAATGAATCATTAGGTCTTATTCATTCAGGGTAGCCACATCAGTATTAACACTGCACTCCCTGCCTCCCCTGTAATTATCATTACCCCAGCAATTGCCGGGTATCATTTACATCAGGGGGTGTTTCACAAAGATCCTAAGTTGGACTTAACAATTATGGAAAGCCATTAGCATCCTTGAAAATGTTTTGTAAAAGTTATTTTAAAAGGCATTAAATGTTGATTCATATCATTTCATTTTTTATTATCATGGGAGATTTCATGTTCTTGATATGGAATTTATGAAAAGTCTAAAATACTTGAAATTTTCTTTTGAATATATCTCATTGTAAGGCTACAAATGGCTCTCTATACTATTTAAGTCCAACTTAGAGTTAAGTTTGACTTATAATCTTTGTGAAACACCCCCCTGGATGAAGAATGACAAATGTGGACTGATGTCTTGCAAACGGACGTTAGTGGCGGCCTGGGATTCGAAACCCTATACCTTTGAATTGAGAGTCAATGAAATAAAATTATGTTTTACATATTCAATTCATAATTATTGCACAGATATACGTACATTTTCCTCTCCCTTTGATAGAAGAAAACCTAATTATAACATGAGTTTTGTATTTATTATTTGTCTTGTGGCATCTTCTTCTTCTTCTAATAAGCTCTAAGAGAAGTTTGGAGTGGCAAGTTTTTATTCGTTCAAAGTAACAGTACATGGAATACTAATGAAATGTAATGAATAATGATAGCTCAATGATAAAGAAAAAGATTTAAAAAAAGAGTGAGAACAAGACCCCAATAAAAATTATGCTTAACCCGACACATACATGGATACCATTAAAAAGTAACATATCTGCAGATATTATGTATAAAAATATATACTTTTAAAATTGACAATCGATGCAGGCCTACGGATGAGATTTCCTAGAAAATAGTGTATAATTGTAAAATATTCTTATCACTATTTTCCTTTCAAATATTTCTTTTACAAAATATTTTCAAATTGAAATTTCTTTCCTAACACGATCATGGTGATCGAGTACCTCCATCTTCATTACCGCTCGCAAGGTAGCGCTTTCCCTTTCCACAGATATACGAATGCCTTTCACGATATCTTCATATTCACCTTGCAGTTCTGCCAGGTTGTTAACGATTCTCCGTTCAACCTGTTAACACAAAATAATACAGAATGTTGATTTCTCGTCCAATATTGTAACTCTCTCTCTCTCTCTTTCTCTCTGTCTCCCTCTCTCTCTCTCTCTCTCTCACACACACACGCGCACACACACACGACCACAAACACACTCTTTTATTTTTATTTTTTATTTTTATAGTAATTTTGTTTTATTCCTCCAAATGTGTAATACAAACAACAATAGTCAATTGAATAAAATGAATAACAGTTTTCAATATTAATTACTTATACATAAAGATAATTAAGCAAAAACTCATTTGCAGTATATAACTGAGCAAAAAAAATTAACTTAAAGTACAGAAACATAATTTATGAGTCAATGGTACATGTTATTCACTAATGTACATTAAAAAAAAAAAAAATCTGGAGGTTATTTAAGTACAAAGGTACACACGCACACACATCCGCATCTGATCATCCTGTTCACATCATCATCAATTTCCTCATCCTCTTGTATGAAAGGTTATTACCTCATGTATGATCGAACGAGCCCCGTAATCTACTTTGTAGCCAGTGGCCAGTACTTTCAAGACAGAATCGTCCCATGACACTTTTATTCTATGTCTGCTGTTTGCCTGCAAAATATGGAGAAAACAAACATATAATCTGCTGACGAACTTTAAAACTGCTGCCACTTCTCCTCCTCCTACTACCACTAATAATAGTTCTACTGCTTCTTCTACTACTACTACTACTACTACTACTACTACTACTATTATTATTACTACAAGTACTTCTGCCACTATACTACTACAGTAGTATTCAGAATTTGTGCTATCTATCGACCACCCCCGTCTGCAAAAAACAAATATACCTTTGAAGGGTTTGTCCCTGACTTTCGTTCGTTGCTTGAATCAGTGACAGTCGACTGCCATCATCTTTTATTGATCGGAGATTTTAACATCCAAGTTGACAATGCTGAGAATAAAGATGCAAAGGTCTTTTCTGATGTATTATACTCGGTAGGACTTGCTCAGCATGTCACTGCACCCACTCATCAGACAGGGCATACGCTAGACCTTGTCATTACACGTAAGGATAAACATCCACTTCTTGACACATCCTGCATTACCGGACTACCGTCAGATCACAATGCAATAGTCTGCACCCTGAACTTTACTCGCCCCCCTTCAACCAAGAAATTGATAAAGTGTCGCAAGCTGAAGGACATAGATGTAGAACACCTCATCGCTGATGTAAGAAGTTCCCTTAGTGATCTTCCTGGTGTTACCTGCCCATCTGATCTTGCTGAGCAGTACAATCACGTTATGGAAGATCTTTTGGACAACCACGCCCCGGAAAAGACTGTACTCATTTCTGTTCGACCAAACGCCCCATGGTACAACGAAGATGTCCGGGAGGCGAAACGCGAAAAACGTCGAGCTGAGCGTCACTTAACAAGAAACGAGAACTCAATCAACAGGGAAATCTATCGTGAAAAGTGTCGGTTATATAATGATATTCTTTCCGACTCCAAGTCCAGTTACCTGCGGGAGGAGATTGAGAAACTTGACAACAAGGGACTCTTTCAGTGGATGCAAAAGTTAACATCTCCTCCATCATATGAACGAAGTCTGCCGAGCCACGAATCAGATAAACAGTTGGCCAACGACTTCGGATCTTTCTTCCAGAACAAGATCCTAACAATAGCTGATGAGTTAGACGGCCGTCAAACTGTATATGAGGCTATGCAACAAGAGACTATTCATCCTACTTTCTCTGAATTTCACCCGATATCCGAGGCTGATGTTCTCAATGTTATCATGGAAAGCCCATCTAAATCATGTCGACTAGATCCTGCCCCCACTTGGCTCATCAAGAAATGTATCGATGTTCTTATCTCTTTCTTCACTAAACTTGTGAACCTTTCACTTTCTTCTGGGATTGTTCCTTCCTCATTCAAGACTTCACATGTCATCCCAGTCTTGAAAAATCCTAAGTTAGATGTAGAAAATATGGCAAACTATCGGCCAATTGCCAACCTGATGTTCCTCTCAAAAGTCTTGGAACGAATTGTTGCCAATCAACTAAGGGCTTACCTCCAGGAGTTTCAGCTCTTTCCTCCTATGCAGTCGGCATATCGCGAGGGTCATTCCACAGAAACTGCTCTCCTTAGGGTTTACAATGACATCTTACTAGCGTTAGATAAAGGACAGGAGGCCATTCTGGTGCTGCTTGATTATTCAGCAGCCTTTGATACCATCAACCATGACTTGCTGATTCAACGCTTCAGTCACACATACGGCATAGAAGGTTCTGCTCTAAAGTGGCTCAAGTCATACCTCGAGAACCGGAAACAAATCGTAATCGTAAACGGAACCAAATCAGATGAATTCCCTCTAACTTGGGGGGTACCGCAGGGCTCAGTAATGGGACCTTTGGAATTTGTTCTATATACTGGTCCTGTGAGTGACGTCATCACAGCCCACAAAGGTATAAGCCACATGTTATATGCTGATGATACCCAGTTGTACATCGTTATGCAACGCAACGACCTGGCTGATGGCATCTCGTCTTTGGAAGACTGCGTGACAGATGTGAAGTCTTGGGCTAGTAACAATAACATGATGCTCAATGCAAACAAGACTGAGCTCATCCACATTACATCACAATTTAGGAAACGGAACGAGTCGGTTAGCCTTCACATAGACGGAGCTGTTATTACTGCGACCAATTCTGCTAGAGATCTGGGTGTTATCGTTGATAACTCGTTAGACTTAAGAGAGCACATCCGAAAGGTGTGTCGGGCAGCTAGCTTCGGAGTTTATAGGATTGGGAAAATCCGGAAATACCTTGATCGCAGCTCTACTGAACGACTAGTTAATGCATTGGTAACGTCCCATTTAGACTACTGTAATTCATTATTAATCAACTTACCTGCTTCTCATCTGGCCCCACTCCAGCACATCCAGAACACCGCTGCACGTCTAATCACCCGCACCAGAAAGCACGATCACATCACTCCAGTCATCCGCACCCTACATTGGCTCTTAATTCCCCAACGTATCCAATTCAAGATTCTTCTCCTCACGTTCCACATCATCCATCAACACGCACCATCATACCTGATTGAACTGATCTCACCCAAACAGACTACCGGCATGAACCTTAGATCATCATCCAGACCCCAGCTCGCACTCGGTCCTCGCACCCACAACCGGTATGGTGACAGGGCCTTCTCAGTCTGTGCCCCCACTCTTTGGAACATTCTCCCCGCCCATATCCAGGACTCACCCACCATTGACATTTTCAAAAAGAATCTAAAAACTCATCTATTCCAAAAGCAACCCAAATAACTCTATAATGTCTTTTCAAATTATTACTATTACTGATATAATGTGTTAATTTCCAAGGAATTTACATGTTTTGTTAATTTCTTTAGTAATGTTAGTAATGTTTGATCTTCTTGGTAATTTGAGTAATGTCAATTTGTTAAGTTATGATAGAAATATTTGATTTTCTTGTTAATATAAGTAATAATAATTAGTTAAGTTATGTAGGTAATATTTTGTTTTCTTGGTAATTTGAGTAATGTTAATTCCATTAGTAATATCGATTTTGTTTGAAATAATTTTGATTTGTGTACATGTACAGCGCTTTGAAACTTTTGTCACAAGCGCTATATAAATTTGTCATATTATTATTATTATAATTACTATACTACTACTCCGCTGCTCATTAACGTGAGCGTGATCAATACATTTCTGAGATGATATCAATTTTATCCATACAAAATAAACTGTATTATCATAACAACCTCATGAAAAGAGATAAGAATTGTTTTCTCAACCTAAATTTTATTACGACGATGACGATGACAATGACGACGACGATGACTGCTACTACTACTACTACTACTACTACTACCTTTACTACTACTACTACTACCTTTACTACTACTACTACTACCTTTACTACTACTACTACTAATAATAATATGACTACTACTATACTATTAGCACTACTACCTTTCCTGCAAGTACTACTACTAACGTTACTAATACTATTATTATCATTATTCTCACTAATATTTTTACTACTATAATTACTATTACTATTACTAATAATATTACTATGACTACGAATACTACTATTACTATTAATACTCCTGCTATTTCTATTACTACGATGACGAATAGAAGACTGCAAGAACTTAAAACGTAATTTTCCAGTATCCAACAGCTATAGACATTTATTTAATATTTGAATGTCATCTTCAGTAGTTTATTTCAACTCCCCAATAAAAACATACTTTTTACATCAACATACAAAAGAAAATTACAATGTTATTGCACGAACATTAGTGAGAACCTGGGGGATCCTAATATTAGAGGGCTTAGAGTAAAAAGGTAATGTAATCAACTATGTAGTGTGATCGAATGATTAACTTGTTAACTCACAAGTTTCGACCATTTATCCATCTCTCTGGTAACGAGTTGAACAAGATCCTCCTCGGTAAATGGTAGGAAGAAGACAGTTTCGTTGATTCTGCCCAGGAACTCATCTCTCTTGAAGTGCCTCTTGAGAATAGGCTGGATGACTTCTTGCTGGAAGTTGTCGGGAATTTTCACTTGTCCTATGTTAAGATAAGATTTTTGAATATTCATAAGTCATCGAAAGATAATGTTTGTTTCAGATTCAAGATACAGATTCAAAAATGATTCCTCCTTTTTGTATTGAACAAACATGATAACTATAAGAAGAATGTTAAGAAGATCATTGTTATATTAATTAATTAATTTATTTATTTATTTATTTCTGATATTTATACAGGGTGGCACATATCACCAATTTGGTGGTCTTCCATGAGGCCCTGTTTGGTAATAATAGAAACAAATAACAGCATCAAAATAGATAAATACACAAGTATATAAACAGGTAAAATACAAAATAATTGGTATCCCCTTGAAATAACTGATCATTCAAGAATCATCCTTGATCATTTACAAGAAATAGGTAAATGGAATTTTCATATTAAATATAATTTTTAAAAACGTTCATTTAATAGTCTGATAAAGCTTAACGCACGGGATACCAAAATTGTTATATACATATTTACATTCAATTGCTCTTTAACTAATACACTTAGGTTGTTTACAAGATAGCTAAAAATGGATACATTACATGTATGAATACATGATATAACGATAACCATGTCAACCAAATTTCATAATTTTGCAAATAGGAAAAAAAATAGTTACCTTTGCACGAAACCACCAAAAGTTCACTTACACGTTATCTACAGATAACAGGGCTTTTAGAGCGTGTTTAAAACTGTTCAAAGTAGGTGACATTTTGACAGGACTTTTAAGTTGGTTCCATACTTTAATTCCAGAAGTTAGAGGACTATTTTTATAAGTGTCCGTCCTAAATTTGGGTACACACAATGCATCCCTTACAGCATGTCTTGTGTTGTGATCATGTAGTGAACTAACATGATGTAAATCTTGTTTTAAGTATGTTGGTGCAATGTTATGCATTGATTTATATATCATCACTGCACGTCCAAACTGGAAACGTGTCTGAATAGGCATCCATCCTAAGCGACTAAACATATCATTTGAAGATACTTCAAATCCTTCTCCCAGCACTACACGTGCAGCTCGTTTTTGAACCTTTTGTAATTTAATCGTTTGTCTTTGAAATCTCTCAGACCACACCGAGGAACAATAATCAAAATGAGGAAGTACGATGGCATTATACAGAAGTTTTAGAGATCTTGTTGGAACATAACTTTTGGCTCGCTTAATTAGACTGATATTTCTTTGAGCAGTTTTAATAACTTTTTCCACATGCTCCGTCCAACGTAACTCCTCGTCAATCATGACACCCAGGCATTTAATGAAGGAATGAAGGACGGGGCGATATTTCCTTACATCGTAATGTGTTTGATGGGATCGCTATAATGATACAAACATACAAACATACAGATAAAGGTCTCTAAAAGGTCAACTGTCTAAAATGATCAAGTAAGTTGTTTCTCTTGAGAAAGGCTACTTGTCTACAGTGGCCACTTTCTCTGTTTGCCATGGGTGGCCGCAGTAGAAAGGAGTGACCGAATACGGAAATGAAATGAAAATCTGTTTCTTTTACTAACATGACTGAAAGTATGTGTACGACATCGATACAAACCTGATTGCTTATTTTCTTTCTTCCAGAAGTCAGTAATAGCATCACTTCCCAGGTTTGATGTCATGAAGAATATAGCCTTGTTACCCATGACAGTCTCCCCCTTTCCGTCTGTCAGTCTTCCCTTTGGAGAAAAATGGGGAAAACATCACGTCTCTATTTCTAAGTATGAGGTGTTGCCCAACAGAATATAAATGAAAATTGAATATAATGTACAATAAAATATGGAAAAGACTGACAAGGTAATGCCACGTAATATATCTCAACTGGTCGGAAAAAAAGCAACTAGATACCTCATCAAAAAGCTGCAACATAATGGTCAGAACATCACGGTGTGCTTTTTCAACTTCATCAAACAGAACAACAGCCTTCGGAGTCTTTTTTAGTTTCTCTGTGAGTTGACCACCGGCATCATGATTACAGTAACCAGGAGGAGCCCCGATAAACTTGCTAACTTCATGCTTATCTTGATATTCGGACATGTCGATTCTGATGAAAGCTGTCTCTTTTAGTTTCAAGTGGGTCGAAACCGCTTTGGCCATCTCAGTTTTCCCTGCGAACGAGGTGACAGTATAAGAAATTTTAGAGAGTGGAACATCCTTACAAATTTAATAGTTTATGTACATTTCAACGACAACTGTTGATTGTCAAATTCCGAAATATGTTTCTATTATAGGATTTCCCGGCCAAATTCGCGTGTTTGTCATTCAAATTCATTTACTTTGCATTTAAGTTAGCGCAGATCGGCTTTGCCATGCCAATCATCATTCAATTTTCCAGCTTTTGTATTTAATTTAGGATTTTGGTCGAAGGGTTTCATAGATCTGTCATTCAATTTAGAAACTGCTCAACTAGCATTCAAATTAATATTCACTTGTCGAAGCGTAATTTTTATCATTCAAATTAACACCTGTCATTCGTATTCGTAATATTTTTATTCAAGTTAGGAATGTTAGGGGGAAGAATTGCAACAAACTTTTACAGTATTTAAATAATGCAGTTAAAATGCATGATTTGCCATTAGGGTCTAAGCTGTTATTCCATTTATTTATTTTCAGGACAATGCAGATAGGTGTAGTCAGACATAAAGTAGAGAAGGGGCGAAATCAAGGTATATGGCATTTCTGCACGGACATGTTCATATACCCGGGAAAGGTGGGGGTACCCTCAATCGCCCTTTTTTACTACAGACTCGGAATTTTACAAAAGTAATTCACATCGTCTCTTATACCCAGCACACCCCTCTGTTTTTCTTAAAGAGTTTCATAGTTTACCTGCCCGCCAGCAGATCGATGGCTAAGACATGGCTAAATAATTAATCATGTTCAAATTGTTGACTCTAGTCCCTCCCTACTCCAGTCACAATATTATGCCCTTCTTCCATAATGAAATTATGATGAAATTATGATCAATTTATGATAAAACATAAGACAAACAACTTCCTTACATGAACATTTACAAATATACTGAGACCATCAGGTCCGTAGATGCAAGTCGTTTTTTTCTTCTTAACAATCAAACTTAAATGCTGATGAATATCAGATATATCAGAATAATAATAAGTGTATAAATGCAAGAAAATGAAATATGATGAAATACACATGAAAAAACAATCTTGAAAGAAAAAGAATGAGCTATAAAAAGTGTGCAATAAACGAGAAATGTATAATGACCATCAATTTAAGTGCACAAAGTGCTAATTTGAATGCTACAAATGAATTAGAATGCTAAAAGTACACCGTCGCGTTGTCAGAAAATCGTGTTGCGCCAAATCGAATGACCAAATAGCGAAAGAAGCATAATGTTCGTTAATTTGAATGAAACATACGTAGATTCAAACGAAAAGTCCATAGATTTGAAAACTAGAAAAGGGAATATAAACCCGAGATATACCTGACTGCACTAAAACCGTCGAATTTGAACGCAAGACAAATTAATTTGAATGACAAACTCGCGAATTTGGCCGGGAAATCCTATATTGTAATGTTTTAATCAAGTCATTTTTCCCTTCCACATAACTCATTGTCTTGTAATGATGTTTCTTTCAGATTTGGGTTTTGTTTCTTTTATTTTTCTTCTTTAAGAAGGTCTTTAAATTCGCCTTCATTATTGATAGAATATTCTTACTTTGCTTTAAAATCAGTATTTGGTGCATGTATGTAGAACTTAGCCATTTTTTTTCAAATTTCAATCTTAATCACATTGTATATATACTTTATCTAGGCCAACAGTGTCATTGTGGAAAGCAGTTTTGAAACTAAACTGACAATGCTACTTTGTAAAAAAAATTATAAAAACAGAATAAATAAATGAGCAATACTAAAAGTAAAACTTCACATACACATACACACACACACGCGCGCGCGCGCACACAAGCAAGCACACACACAATGTGCATTCTTGAAAACTGATCCGTGAACAAAAATAATGATTAGTGGAGGATATTGAAACCAATGTCTGATCATAAATTTCATCATTCTCTTATCAACTCTATTTGAAATGTTAGAAATGGGTTAAATAAATTTTGCAAATGTTGATCCGTTATTGATGTTTATAGTACATGTATATATAGGTCACAGCCTGGTAGATCAAATGACATACCAGTACCCGATGATCCCAAAAATAGGAATACCAACGGCTTCTCCGTGCTTTGCCAACCTGCTTCCTTTCGTCTGATAGCTGGGATTGAGAAAAGAAAGAAAAACAAAGGACAGAGAGAGAGAGACAGACAGACAGACAGATCAAGAGACATATGCATAATGAAACGAAAAAAATAGATTTAGAATAGGTTCATGATACAAAAAAAACAAAACAAGAAACAAGAACAAAAACAAAAAACAACACAAATAAACGTTTTTTTAAAACGTTTTTTATTGGAAATGAAAAAGATGGAAGGGATAACAGCAATTTCATGTTAATTTGTTTAATAAAAATGCACAGAGGGTTGGGCCTTTAGTTCCCACTCCTGGGACAACAAGTAGGAGTATCCTTCGACCTTTTTATTGATGCAATATACAACGATCAATAGAAGAGTACTAGGTAATTAAAAAAAAATATCTTCTATGAAATCTGCTTGATTTTATCCGACTACTTTTTATTGAAGTTTGAATTGGTCTCCGCATAATTACCAAGGTATTAAACATGATTTCTTATTATGATTATGATTAAAAATCAAATTCAGATCAAAGCTTTGGGTGAGGGTTGCGACGATCTATACATGTATTTTTCGGGAAATTTAGATTTTATACAAGTAGGCCTAGAGCAAATCAAACTCACTTCGAGCTACCAAACATACTGCATGTTTTTGACCAACAATGTTCTTCTGCAGATGTTTTTCAAGATTAGTTGGTTCCCTATTTGTGGAGACTTCCTTTGTCTCGAGCTGTAAAAAAAAAGGAGGAGGAAAAAATGTAGGAGTAATTCGTCTGTTGAGAGCAAGAAGGTCGTTAGCTCTATATCAAAATATATGGGTTAATGTTAAGGTTAATGCCCATGTGGCCCCTTACAAACGATTCCATTTTCTGGCTTTTTGTTCTGCGATCCTAGTGTCCAAAATAAGTCAGTCAATAATATACTAGCATAATATATGAAACGTAATCTTTAAAAACCCTTTCCACTAGGTTCTATACGTTGTTATCCATTGTTTCGTTCGTCATTTGTTTCAATAGAAAGTTCTACCTTTAAACTCATTTTCCAATGATAATCATGAAAATAGTAATGTTTTCATATTCAAAATGCTTATCTTATGTTTATATTAGGGTACATGAGCATGTGTCTACATCAATAACCCAATTCTTGTAACGGCCAAAATTAAACTGGTTGAATCTTTGCGCAGCACAAAACGTTCGACCATTCGGTACAAGGGTCTGAAAAATAGACTATTTACTAAAAGGATTGCAATCTCTAAATTCGATTCGACAACTTAGCGGTCGTTATTTTGCCACAAAGGGACTGTTAGATTCACACGACGGGAGCGTGGACTGCCGCGTGTGACATTGTGGTAAGGCACTGGGCCGTGTCTGGCAGTGCCTTAAAAGGACGTCACATTACCTTAAAAGGATGTCACACGTGGTGGTCCACGTTCTCGTCGTGTAAATCTAAAAGTCCCTAATAAGACATTTCAAGCCCTTTCGTTTTGAGGAAAGTTCTAACTTAGTATTATATTTCAAATTCCGATGGAATTCAACATTTTCATTTGTTTAGCCTGCAAATAGGACATGATACTTTAAATAATAATTGGTCTGAGCAGATGTGTTGATTTCCCACATGTCACTATGAATATGACGGACAAAGAAAGAGGACAAAATATACAGTTCCTCATTCTACCCTCAACAATTGCTTGGTAGACTATGCTATTATGTAAAAATGTGTAGAACAGGAGAATATGCATGTGACACCTGTTCTACACATTTTTACATAATAGCAGTGAAGGGATGTTACTTCGTCTACCACAGCAATTGTTGAGGGTAGAATGAGGAACTGTATATTTTGTCCTCTTTCTTTGTCCGTCATGTTCATAGTGTGTATACTGTCGATGCTATGCATCGCCACCCCGTGGCGAGGACATACGTCAGTGCCTGTAGAGACTTCGCCTGTCACCTGTTTTTCAATACAAAGCCATGTTCATAAATAATTGTCCTTGAATAGCGCAGTGGAAACAATAACGCCTCGTGTGTATAGGGCATTACGTCATCCACAAAGCCGATCGATACTTACCCTTGCTGCATGATGTTGCGTCTGTTGGACACCAACATTACCACCAGTTGTCAGCAACTGTGGTCGGTGTCCACTCCCGAAAGGGCCCACCCTCCATGGGCTGTCAAAGGTTCCAGAAGGACGAGATCGTACATCAACACCTCGACCCTCATCGCAATGGAGACAGTTCAACGACGTCACAGGATTCGAGGTGAAACAAGAGTGACAAACCCAGTCATCACCCATCTCTTCCCATGTAGTAGCGCCGATCGGCTCATCTTCAGCAACATCATGGACTTGATCTTCTGTGACATCTATAACTGCTGGTTGTGGGTTTGGCATGAAGCAGGCCGGACATTGTAACGCGTAGATGCTGTTGTTCTGAGTACATGTTGGGCACGACCACTGACATAATGACAATGACAGAAAAATTATCATACTTATGAATACGGATGTAAATTAATTACATTTTGCTGTCTAGCACGAACGAGAAACACCATTTTAGTCTGTGGAGATCTCAGTCGACGTTGCTGAAGATATCAACGACAAAACTGACATGGCGGTTCATAAATCAAAGCATATAAACTGGTAAGTTAGGTATCAAAAACAGCTATTACCTGCTTTTGTTATGAAGCATGGATAGTTTTTTTTGTTCTTGTGATTAGAATGTTAAATGTCGATTTTTAGGGGACAATCCTTGTGGAAATTTCCAACAGATGTGTCTCCCCACCCTCTTTCGGAACGTCGCCTCTGATATACCCACCTCATCTTTTCTCGCTTGAGGATAAGAGAGAATAAAAATACCCACCTCATCTTCTTGTAAAGTTGATACATCTCCAAATTCTATCCGAATCGAATCGCAGGCTATGCATTTGGACCATTCGGTTAAATTGACGTAAGTGCAATTTTGGCAGATCCACTCTGCTTCGGCCATTCCCTGTCTATATGCGGACCTTTCACTTTTCATGGAAAAGATGGAAAATAGATTTATAAAAATAATATTCCTATACAAGGTGGATAGAATATAGATAAAAGATACCAATAATCAAGTTGATACAATAATTTATACCAATGGTGACATGCCGATATTCATGATAAGATGTACCAATACCAATACACAAGATGGTGAAATGTACTGGGAGTTAAGAAGAACAAATAAAACTCCCCCGCCTCCCAAAAAAGCCTTGTTTATCAACGACATTCAGTCCTCCCTTAAAAAAGCATTAAAGCAGATATTATTAACATCATTGTCACAAGGTTTCAAGGTTTGTTCATTTTTCTCTTATAGATTTAGACGTTAACAATGTATTTAAATATTTTACAGAGTTAGAGTAGACAAAGTGACCCATTAAGAACAGCTAGTAAATTGGGTCACCTTTAAACTACGATTTGTTTTTAAATTGCGTACAATACCTGCGTGGGCTCAGTCATGTAATGAGGGCCCCAGGCTTTTTAAAACTATTTTCCAGTCTTGGCAACTTTTAAAAAACTTCTCGTCATCCAAATGCCGAATTCATCACAAAAGATTCACTTTGCATCACTCTGGTGCTCGTCTTTGCCCAGGTACACACGTACGGGTATATTTGTTCTAAATTTTGCGAGTGAGCGAAGCGAGCGAGCCTACAAAACTGACATTGTTTAATGTGGTAAACAATTATTCTGCTATCAACACACTAACATAAGGAATACAATATACGGGCACCTCGCAGAGGAATATTCATAAATATAAAACCTCATATAATTTATTAGGTCACCTCAGCTATACACGAATATGAGGCTATTTGGCCATCTGATTGCCCAAATATCGCAAGCGAGTTAACTCAGTAAAGCGAATGAGCGTCGTAAAAATGTAATTCCAACAAAAAAGATGTGAGATATTTTTGGATACCTCGCTGACAATAGAATATAGAAGGACAATAGAAGGATTTTCGGGCACCTCGTTGCCCACTTACAGAGATATGCACGTATTTGGCTACCAGTAAAATCATCCTGTTTCTAAATGTTGCGAACGAACGAGGAAGAAATACTCTTTGTTATCTTCAAAATGCTCTTTCTCCTTGAAATTACTTACTCTCGCAGTTTCTAACCTTCAGTTTCATGAAATCGACGATATTCTATCAATTATTATTGGATATAACCTAATATCTCTTGTGGTAATCTTTAGAGATGTCTTGCGACACCCTGGTTGAAAAACTCTGTACTAAATGTATCCAAATTTGAGTGGGCAGATAGACCAGGCCGAGAGGGAATAACGTCATTGCCTCTATAGATTGGGAGATGTTGCATTTTAATGTAAAACGGACATACATACATGCTCTCTACGTGCCTCTTTTCCAGTATAACTTTTATATTTTATCTCCCTTTCTTTTTCTTCTCTGATGTATAATACATCAATGACGCAGATCTGATCACCCCAAAGCATTTTATTATTTAATTTAACGAAAAAATAGGGTATTAACAGGACGATGTGAGCTTTTACAGCTACATGTAACATCTGTTGTTATTACCGTACTGATCAATACATTGTACTTATATAAGTATTTATGCTTATGCAAGTAGATCGTGTAGGCTCTAATGTTATTTGATTAAACTTTAACAACTATTACATAAAACAAATCCTCATTGAAAAAACAGTATTTGAACTTTATGTCGACCCTACATACTCACGTTTATTGTTTGAAACTATCACCAGAAGTACTTATCCAGGAGTTTGCAGTATATTACTATATTTATGCACTGGTCGAACATAGTATGGCATCCCGCCAATAGAACTAGAGCATATACAGAGCTTGACACATTTCCGTACATATTGATTTAGAATATGCCATACGCTGTGATAGAAAAATGTATATTTTCAGTGTCTGTGATTTCAACCTTGTTTTTTTTTTCTGTAACACAATACCCAACGCTATTTTCCCACCTTTTCCCTTTCTTCTCATTCTCATTCTCACCTCTTCCATAATTGCTCTTGTGTGATTATGTGTGTTTTGGGATGTGTGTATATACGTGGTTGATACCTGCTGTAGTTAATGGCCGTTTTTTCTTCCTAAATTTACATATCATATACCCTGTAAGTTTATTTATTTAGCTATTAAATCTAATATTGTGTTTACCTTGATAGGCGCCTCATTTACAAGCACGAGTTGCTTCTCAGAGGCCCAGGGCATATTATGTATTCTGTATTTAAGATTTTCTCATGTTTGTATAATGCCAAATAAATGAAAGTGAATTGATTAAACAAAAAATTGAATTTACTCAACCAATTATCCAAAATTTGTGATGGAGTGGTCTTTTATGACTTAAATGAAAATATGAATCAATACAATTATAGATTAAGGAAACCTTAACGCAAGTAAGCAGGTCTTGTAAGTATTTTGTTTTTGGCCATACGATAGGGGGAGGGCATGTACCCCCGTACCCCCGTAGCTACGCTATTGATACTTACACATACACACATCCACTCACACACACACAAACAAACACACATACACCCTCCTCACCCACACACAAACACTTATTCAAAGCTCTGTTTACACACGTTTGTCAGAAATGGCGATCGACACGCATGGGTAGTGAAAGATAGAAGTCCTATAGAAAGTAGTTTATATTTGGTTTAATATCCCATATACTATTTGCCGAACAATCATCCACATAACATTATTATACCGTTATCGCGCTTTTTTTTTTTAGATAGTAAAGATGTATCCACAGCGGTTTAATGTTCCTCTTATTATCTTTTATTTGTCTTGCAGTTTGAAAATCATGTTTGCACACCGATAATTGAAAAAATGTAAACGTAATGTGCCCTATTAACTTTTGATGTATATACATAGAGAACGGGAAGAAAAAGGAGGTCCCACCGAGATTTGAACTCGGATCGCGAGATTCAGAGTCTCGAGTACGTGCTAACCATTACACCATGGAACCGATTTGTAAACGAACAATGCTTTAAATATTATAATGCCTTCTATTCTTTAAATGTTTGTAATTATCATCAACTCATCATCATCATCATCATCATCATCATCATCATCATTATCATCATCATTATCGTCATCATTATCGACACCACCACCACCGTCATCATCATCATCATCCTAATCATCTTCGTAATACACTGCACATCATATTGAAGTTTACTAAAAAGAAAAAGGAAGATAAGAAGAAGGAAAAAAGAAAGAAAGAAGATGTGGAAGAAGAAAGAAAGCAAGCAAGAAAGAACAAAAGAAGAAAATGAGAAGACACTGAGAAATGTATTTAAATACCCGGAGCAATTGTATTTTAAGTGACATATAGGTTAGGCAAAGTGATTGTCGGACAAAGTGAGAAAGGTAGCAAGTGTAAAGATAGTTCTTTGTTTGATAGATCATTTTTTAACAGACAAAACTATTTGCCAATCACCTTTAATATATATATATATAAAACAAAAACATAAAGATACAAAGTACGTTGTAGAAATGTCAAAAAAAGGCGCGATGTAACGAAAATATTGCTACATGTTAGCATTGATATTGATCATCATTGAATGATATTCTAAGGTCTTTTATTAAGTTTCCTTGAAAACAATTACAAAAAGGCAGCACTACTCACAGCATGATAAAGATTTAGAGGTACTTAGTTAATTCTCACATTACAAAATGGTCATAATTATTCACGTCCTACTCATCCTCTTTATTATCAAAATATGAAAGTTTAGACTATTTCTGAAGAAATTTACCAGTATGAAAGCAGTGGATATTTAGTTTGATTAAACACTGATTTTTTTAAGCAAGATTCATATATATATATATATAAAATGTGTGATAGTTAATCACGGACTGTGAAAATGTACGTTGTTATGATGAAAGTGAGCAAAAAAAAATGCATTTTTATTTCTGTGTGAATGTGCAACATTCCACTATAATATGTTTTACTATATGTCAAAGATTTCTCATTGCAAGCAATACATTTTTAAAAATATTTGTCATTCTTGAAAAGCAACATCTTCAACAGAATTATTCAATTATGTACAAATGTTGTAATAAATCTGTTTCCATAAAAATAGTCTACAGCTACAACTACAAATACAACATAAAAACAAACGAAAAAACACTAACTTGAACTGCCAGTTACCGACCTATCATTACGGGTATTTTTTCCCCTCATTTATAATAATAATGATAATAGCTCACATTTATAATGCGCCTAATACTTTGTTTCTAGGCGCGGAACATATTATTACCCCGGTCATCGGATTCAGGCTTACCCACACCACAATGTATGCACATTTATGGCTTTATAAAGAAATAGACATCTTCCAAACAGTATCTTATTAGAATTAAAATGTGTACACGGGAGAAAAGGTGTTCATCGATAATTATTTGCATAAACGAAAAAAACAACTTTACAAAAAATAAAAGTATTTAGGTCCCACCGAGATTTGAACTCGGATCGCGAGATTCAGAGTCTCGAGTGCTAACCATTACACCATGGCACCTTGGATGAGGCACACGGATCAAATATAGACTTGAAATATTAGGGCCCTCTATCGGTGAAGCAAGAAGAGAGATATCAGATGGAGATGATAATGCTGGTTATGAGGAACAGGATGAGCAGCCACCATTATGATACATGTACTTATTTCCATTTCAAATTCTCCTGATAGCTTTAATCCGTTAAAGATAAAGACCAGTTATATGGTCGTGCGATTGCATTGTGAAAGAAACGTTGAGAAATCGATCAGAAAAGGTTAGCATAGATGTATACTGCAAGGTTCTGGAATCATCAAAATGATAAGAAATTTGGCCCAGTCTATAAAGTTACAAGCACTGTACACAGAAAGAAGTATATGGGACTACGCACACGTGTGCAACACGTGCGTTTTTATCTCTCACACACCAATAGATAAACTAATTTACCAAATATATCAATTAGTAGGCGGTTTCCCGGCAAAATTTTTATCATCAAATTATTCAAAACATATTCTTTCACACAGATTGGTAATAAAAGCTTCCATTTCATTCTTTGAAATTGGGGCGTTTCCAATACTGGTCTTTACCAATTTTGTTAGTATTAAAGGAAAGTTGTATATCATGGAATATAACAAATATTGAGAAACATATTCCCAAATGGAAGAGGAAATCAGTATGCGCTAGTGTGTGTAGGGCCCGGGGGAGGGGGGGGGGGGGGGGGGGACTCAGATTTGGTTTGCATGGGGGTGTACAGCTCAGGTCTCGAAACCCCAACCCATTAAGTGTCATTTTGGTAATTTTTTTTTCTCGAAGTAAGGCCATTTTTTACAAATCACAAATTTTGAAAATTTGAAAAAACGGATCGACCCATGTTTAGTGATTTTTTTTTAATGGGACCCATGCAAGTTTAGGGATTTGTTTATACCCCAAATATTCTTAATATGTGAGTACCCCCCCCCCCGGATATAGGGACACTGGTACAGGCCAAAGGTCCCTTTTTAACATACAACTAACACATCCTAAAATGATACGTGATTAACACCAATAAAAAACAAATATCTTAAATTAGATACATCGTTTGCACTTCAGTGTTTATATTTTGGGATCTTTAATTTATGTTTGAGTAGGCCTACTGTTATTTGTTTTACAGTCAGTTCAACATTAACGATTTGATGAAAGGAATTGACTTGGATTATGTTCATTTAGCTTGAATTTAGTTTCAATTTCATATGATTAAGCATTTTCATTTTCCTACAATTTCCGGAATTATATCAATGTATTTTATTTCCTATTGCTTCCTATCAAGCTCACTCCCCTGCCCCATCTCTTTGTCTTTGTTCCTTTCTACTCTCCCTCCCTTCCTCTACTTCTCTCTCTTTCCAAGCCCTTATCTCCCCCCCCCCCCCCCCCCTCCCAACAAAAAAATATATACATCTCCCTCTGTATCCTCCATCTCTAATTGCTCTCTCTCTCTCTCTCAGCCCCCCCCCCTTCCTAAATTCTCTTCCCCCCTTTCCAATTCTCTTTCTCTCTCCTCTCCCTGCATCTTCATGTCCTCTTTCAGCCCGTATCAAGACAAGAACCCCCCCCCCAGACAAGAACCCCCCTAGGACAATTACCCCACCCCCCCCCCCCCCCCCCCGCAAACATTCGAGGACAATAAGCTCTCCCCCTACTACTATTAGTCTACCCTGATAATAACTTGGTTTTAATAAAAACTGATTTTTAAAAATTTATTTGTAATTGTCTTAAAGTGACTTGGTAACATTGTTGAAGGTTGATGAAAAAAATTGCTTAATTTTTGTATAAAATTTTACTTACTATATTCCTTGTACTGTACTAACCCTCCGACATGTATCAAATCCTGAAAAAATTCTCAAACCACAAAGAAATCTATGGTTTTCTTTGAAAGGGTCGATGTACGACACTAAACAGCGATTAACAATAAATTCTCCCAACCATTTTTGACTTTTCCCAACCGTTTTTCCATGAAAAAAAGACATAAAACAGGCTATAAAAATCTGTCAACACATGTCTGGAATGGAATGTAGAGCCATTTTATTACTTTGTGAGATTTCCCTTCGCCTAAAATGTAATTAAATTGTAATAATATAGTTGGGAGAATTAAGGAATCGATCAGATCAGTTTTTTCCAAATTTTTCAGAAATTTTCAGATTATCTTTAATTGTACATCTAGCATTGAAGTCACTACCTTAGAACCACTATCTCTCATCTTAACAATGTTACCAAGTCCCTTTAAGGGGTAAACTTCAGGGGGGGGGGCAATTGTCCAGGGGGTAACTGTCCTAGAACCCTATATGGCTAACCCCTTCTAACAACATTTTAAAAACAAACAGCATAACAAGAAATAAAATGAATGTGTTTTTTAATGCCTGCATGGGTAGAGGGTGAGATAAACAAATTTGTCTCATATCAGTATCAAATAACCACAATAAATCACATTTACTAAATGTTATATTTTATTACAATTATATACATGTAACTCATATTTTATTTAAAGGTAATACAAAGTTTTGGTATTGGGTAATGAATTTGGTTCAAATGAACATATTGGAAGCATATGCAATCCTACAATATTCAGTGATCGTTGTCGCGGTTGAAATCGAGTTTAAAGTGATGAAACTGTAAAAAATAAACTCTTTATGTTTTATAGCGCCCTCTCAAGGTCAAGATATTAATTTAGCGATACTGCAATGTTATTTGACTAAAATCGACCGATTTGCTATTACCGTTTGGAATATATATATATATATATATCAGATCTTCATATTCTGAGATTTTTATGGTCGCAGCTACCATCGTCTGGCCGTAGGCGCTAATTCAAATTTATCAAAATTTACCGGGAGCACCGGTAAATTTTTATATTCAATTTTTCTCGAAGGCAGAAGAGTCTTAGGGGCTAAAATTTTTAGTGCTTATAATACATCCATAGGGGCATCCAAATATATCAAAATTGTAAAGAATCACCATCCAGCCAAATTTAAAAATTTACCAAAACTTTGTAATACCTTTAAGTTTTTAGATCATAGCAATGCCAGAAATTAAATTGTTTAACCCATTGCCTGTCAGTAACCATTAGGAGCCAGAGAATTAAGGAGTCTATCGGTTAATATATGTCCAGTTCATGACAAACCCTGAAAATACTTAAAAGCCTCTCCTATATACATCCCTGTTCCTTGCCCTATAAATAATCTAAATATTTGTCTGCTCTGTTCAACCTGTCTTTTCTATTTCTCTTTGTCTTACAGACTAAATTAAAACACATGCTGCTAGTTTCAATGATTTTAATATAGTGTTCTCCCAGGTCTTTGTAATTATCCATTAACTTCATTACCATGCAAGAATTATAGAGAACATTTCATACAAAAACATACAATGACATGATAATCTATTTGCAAAAGTAATTTGTTTAAGTAAGTTTCAGTTAATGTTCCCTATAAATATATTTCTGGGTGAAACTCAGAGATAGCAGTGATGTTTCATTTACATACAAGATAAAAACTATCTATTGTACATTTATGGCTCAGAACATGCATTGAATGTATCACACCAAATTTAGGGCAAAACAGCCACTGTGAAAGTTATATTTGGTAGAGCACAGAGCTGCATGACTCTTTTTTTTAAATTGCACATGAATATTTTTCTGGAAGAAAGTACGATTTGTCCTGGCTTTATCCACACAAGTTGAAATGTCAAGAAAAATCTCAAGTATTTCTTTTCAAGTTCATTTGCTCCACATCAACAGGAGTAATATATTGCCTAAAAATTGGAATGATGATTGATGTCAGCGGGACCTGGTACCGATGCCAGTATATTCACTGTTTCTTTCTTTCCTTTCTTGATGACTTGGAGCTTGAGTTTAGTCTGCTGCAGATCTTGACTTCCACTCATCTTGTTATCATGGGAACCTGCATCCACAGCGATGTGGAGCTTGCATCCTTGAGAGATGAGTAGTTTCTCTTGGGCAGCAGCAAGCTGGTTGACGATCCTTCTCTCAACCTGAAACATACGTGACAAAGTTATGATGTGTTCAGAGCTAGATGGTTACTAACCCTATCTTTAAGGATGTTAACATCTTTCTGGCTTTGAGCACAAAATATGGCATTGAAAAGTTATAAACCTAAAATATTACAATAAATTAATAAATATTTTTTCATTTTTTATCTATTTGTTTTCTATTGTATTTGTACAATTTATTTATCATTATTATTATTATTATTATTTTTTTTTTTTTTTATTATTTTTTTTATTTTTTTATTATTATTATTTTTTTTTTGGGGGGGGGGGGGCACCAGTCAATGATTTCCTTTTCAAATTTGTCAAATTCCTCAGGATCTGTGTCTAGGTTTGTAATAGCTTGTAATTCAGTGGTGAAATAAAGATGCCAATATTTAACAATAAGAATATGGCAGCACGTTCATGTCAAATTTACAGAAAGGGCTTTAGGAACGTAACTATTTAGTTAAATGAGCAATTCTTTGTGTGATAACGTTTACAGATGAATTTGCACATATTTTTTGCTAGTGTGTTTTTAGCAATCTTCTTGAATATTTTTTACTCTCTTCTGTAAAACTGACCTCATGTTTGATAGACCTTGCTCCATAGTGGACATCATATCCATCAGCAAGAACTTCAAGAACCTCAACATCCCATGTCAACTCCATCTCATGTCTGTCTTTGGCCTAGGCAAGATAACAATTCTCATTAATCTTACAAACCATTAATTAACCTCATTCAACATCATAAAATCTTAATACTGGGTAACTTCAAATTTTTTTTACAAGAAACAAATTTCTCCTCATTCATTTTCATAATTGAGAGGAATATTTTCTTAATCACACATTTCAATGAGTGATCAACAACTATGAATACACAAGAATATTAGAAGCCAGCTGAATCATAGACAGCATTTAAAAAATCAAAGTGTAGTCAAGTGGTTTACGCACCTGCCTGGGGATGCCAAGGTCTTGGGTTCAAACCCTTACAAGGCACCAATGGCTACTAGCAAGACATTAATCTACACTTACCAGTCTCGAGCTAGATGAAATAAGTGGGTACCTGGTAGGATTATTTCTTGAAATGCACTGTGCAGTAATACAGGTTTACAGAGCCAAAGCAAGGGAACAAAGAGAATTCATATCATAATATGATATGTTGATGACGATGATGATGATTCACAGCATTTACATGCTGCCATGTTTCTGTTTAAAAAAAACATTCACATGCACAGGCACCTCCAATGAAGTCAGTATTTTCACTTATGCCAAAATCAAGTAAGTTTTAAGGCATGATTTGAAGTGATATGTACTCTACAAGAACAAAATATCTATATTTTATTATGAATTCATAACTTCAACAAATAAAAGAAATATCTCAGAGCAAACCTACCCTCGTTGCCCAGAAGTTGAGCTCTTTGGAAACCAGTCTGATAAGCTCGGCTCGGGAGAATGGTAGGAAATAGACCATCTCGTTGATCCTGCCTAGGAACTCGTCTCTTCTGAAGTGCCTCTTGAGGATTGGCTGGACGACATCCTCCTTGAACCTCTTGGAGATCGTCACCTGCTCTGTCATTTCAGCTGCTTCTGTTGAATGAAACCACTGTATATTAGCAAATGTATCGGTGTGGTGTTTCATTGTATGAGTTTCTTATGAGATGACAAGCAAGTAACATATCATCAGATAATCACTAAAGACGTACTTTGTGCATTGTCTGATACTCTGATTCCAATTCTAAAAAGCAGGCCACTTGAAATCTAAATGTACCTGAAGTTAATATCTAGCTCTTTCATTCAGAGAAATATTTTCTTACATTCTGTCAGAGGGTTGGAAATAATAAAAAAAACAGTCAAGCATGTAGTTTTTCCATTCATAGTCATGTGTTTATGTCTTAAAGAGATAGTTGAGTTATGTTTACAGACCTCAAATGCCTTCAAAGTGCATGGTTATTGCTCTTATTCTTATCTATGACATTTCTAGTACCCTTTTAGAACCTAAAATTGCTATGAAGGTAATTTTAGACCCCAAAATGTGTGAAATTTAGCCATTACGAGCTCCAATTCAGCTCCACTTTAAAAAAAACACGGTGACCGTTAATTAATTATTTAATTAAAAATAACAATACATGGGCCGGCTGGTTGTGCGTAATATAAGCAACACGAAAATGTCAACAAAAAAGCCAACATCGGCATTGGCTGAAATACGACGTAAAAAGCATTATTTCATTTTTTTCAACGTTTTTTTCAAATTTTTCAAAATATCTAATATTTCTGGTGGTACACAAGTATTAGAAATCATTATATTTCAGTCGTCTCTGAACCGATTTTGATCAAACAAAGATGATTTTGTCATTTAAATATTATGTTCTTTCAAATTTGACACTCAGTTTTTCATTATCTCGCAAAAAATTATTTTGTGTGGCGCCCTCTGCAACAGAACTCAACAATCCCTTTAAAGATGAACCACACAAACAGTAGGATATTGGAAGAAAGGCAGGAAAAGAAACAGAGAGAAAGAGCCACACAAAAAAGCAAATAGAGAGAGAGAGAATAAGAGATAATTCAAAAAATGTTTATGAGTCCAAACACACAGCGATTATATGTTAGCATTTCACAAGGCAATTAATGTTTCTGTATCAATAATATAAATACAATGTAATTGCTCGTGCCTTTCTAATAATCAGAGGTGATAGTGAGCACTAAATTTTTTTCCCCCTCAACCAACCCCTCCTTGAGTTAAAAAAAAAGAAGAGGATTTGGGGAAAAAAATGGCATCTAACAACATTCCCCACCTTTTGAGTAAGAAAATTGGGGGAAAAAAGGGAAAATTAAGGAAAAATCAGGAAAATAAGGGGAAAATCAGGGAAATCGTGGTAAAATCGGAAAGAAAAAAAAATCTGGAAGAAAAAAAAATCAAACAAAAAATCAGAAAACCTGATTTAAATCGGGTAAGTATCAGGCCTGAATAATGTGAGCATAACAAATTTCCATAAATTTTTAATGTACATTGGACCAATAAATGAATAAATGCATGAACAAATGAATAACATGATGGTTTACCACTCTCTACTTGTGCAGTCTGTCTCTGTTTCATCATAGCCTTGGCTTCCCTTCTTAGCTGCAATGCATGACTGGCAATCTCATCACTAGCAATGTTGGATGTCATCACAAAGATGGCATCTTTGCATTCTATTGTCTTGCCTTTCCCGTCTGTCAATCTCCCCTGTTCAGAAGAATGAACGATATAACCAAATTCTATCGTAATTAATAAGAACTAGATTTACACTAGAGATATCCTCCTACAGGTCCTATAAAGGTCATACACTTTGAGGTCAATTGGCGATTACAAATGCAAATCACAAAAGATATCAGGTTGGAAATGGCTTGATAATTTGAAATGTAAGAATGTACGCTTAGAGGTTTACTGAGTGATAAAATCAGCATCTAGTCCACAACTTCCTACAAATCTTACTGTGCTATTAAGTGAACTTTCAAATGTCACATTTAGGGTGAACTTTTTTTCTTCACATGTTTTAATAGGGCATAAAATATCTTTACTTGGAACATCCTACACAGTGCATGTTTTATGTCTGTATCCCATTCATAACATAAACAAGTAGTTTGCAAAGAGAATTCCTGGGCATGATTTACCATCCAACTGGCAGGGAAGAAAAATCACTTGACCTTTAACACCCGATTGAGCCCTAATGTCCTTTGGCAGGGCATTAATCTTCATTTGCCACTCCATACCCAGGAGAGAAATGGGGACTTGGTAGGATGACAAAATCCTTTTTGTCAGTAATTGCCATATGCCCTCATGGTGACCATATGGAATAAATATCCCCTAGGGAGTGGAGATGGTGCACATTGTGTGAATGAATCTAATGACCGGGGTAAAAATATCTGTAAAGGGCTTTTCATATTCATATATAGTCATTTCATATTAAGTGCTACATAAATCCTGATTATTATCATTATGATTACCTCATCAAAGAGCTGAAGCATGATGGTGAGTACATCAGGGTGTGCTTTGTCCACTTCATCAAACAGCACCACAGCATTGGGATTCTGCTTGAGCTTCTTAGTGAGCTGACCCCCCTGGTCATGACCCATGTACCCCGGTGGTGCCCCAATAAACTTGGCCACTTCGTGTTTCTCCTGGTACTCGGACATGTCCATCCTGATGAAGCCATTCTTCACATCCTTGTGCATGTACCGTGCTATCTGCTTGGCAAGTTCTGTCTTGCCTGTCATGCAAAGGTGAGCAGCAAGCAACAATTGGTTAAGGGTTCATACAATTTAAATCATCTCTATATATAATACTTTTCATTGTCATTTTTATTTACCTTGATTTACCTTGATGTTGGGCTTCAAGTATAATTACTTATATGCCCCTCTGCAGCAGGATTAATGTCTGTATGTACTGGGGGTTGCGCCTACGTTGGAGCTTCGGACAAAGCAATAGCAAGGAAACATTTCTTTAGGGTTGTACATGTCATATTTAGCTCTCCATGCTTTATGTTGTTTTTAAATAGAGCCCTGTTCTGGACCAGCCTATTTTAATGTTTTTAACAATGTTTCGTAATGATTATGTAGCTGAACATGATACTCTGTATAAAGATGCGAAATAAATAAAATAAATAAATAAGTATAACATTGTCATCTTTCAATGCATTTACAGTAATATACTTTCCTTTTCAGGAACAGTTTCTTTTTGTGATAATACATGTAAGTGCCAGTCTTTTCCCGACTTAGAATGACTCTTTACAGTTTGAGAGAAAGTAGAGTCCATAAGACGCTATCTCTCCTAATTGCATGACTATTTCTAAAATGTTGTCTTGTATAAATATTGTAACTGAAAACAGTGTAAATTATGTACTTTATTACCTTTTCATTTGGAACAATTTGTGGGAAGAAACAGATAGAGCATCAAATATTGATGTTTAAATCATTAAAATATGCATCACAAGAATATTTTTTTTAAGAAATGTGGTTCAAATCAAACTAACTGCCACACCCCCTTCCTGCTCTCTATCCATTCTCATTCATTCTCACCTATTCCTGATGAGCCTAAGAAGAGAAAGACTAGAGGGTGATCTTCATCCATCCAACCATTTTCTTTCCTCCTAACAGCTATGAAAGAGAAAATTGGGCCATCAATCTTACATACATGCACCTGTAGTTGCATGACATTCTTGTAGTACCTCAACTATTTACTTAATTGTAATGCCAAACATTCTAATAATCATTATTTTAAAGAACATTGTTTGAACCATCATCAAAATTTACAGAAATTATTTCCCCCTAAAAGTCTCTTTTTTCATCAAAATACAAATTCTTCAATTTTTTTTATAATACCGCTCCTTTTTTGATGGACTATACTAAAGATGCATGATATTAAAAAATTCTTATTTTGCCACCTGATACCTCTATGAAATAGATCTTTCCTCAAAATCTACTTTTATTCAATAGTAAATGCTCTAAATAAATTATATGGCATTGTAAACAATAAAAGATATTTAATTAGTTTAATTTCAGCTTTGATCGATATTTCATGAGCAGCTTCTCAATTTGTTTGGAGAAACATTATAGTTTTATTTATCTTTTGATTACAGTTGTATTATCCTTTCTTTTTTCTGAGAAAAGATTCTTTAGAAGACAAATTTGAATCATTCATGAATGGTCCTGGCAATACGAAATTTGAAATGTCATACAATGCTCTTCAGACGATATTTGCATGTCAGAGAAGCTTGTTACCTGCAGCAACGGTTGCTATGGCACCATCCTGTCCAATGATAAACTCTGTAAGTCTCTGCTCTAATGGAAAGCGACGTCTCTCCTCTGCTGCTCTCTCTGCTTGCATTGCTGAAAACTGACAATATGAATTATAAAATATAAGATACATTCAAGTCAGAAGACGGCAGAGGATAAAAACAGACATATTGCAGAGATACCAGCATTCATTTGAAATAATGAGTTAATATCTCACATAATCAGATTAGATAGAGAGGGTGTGGATTATCAACGCATGAGGTATAATTAAAAAAAAAAAAAAACTATTCTTTTCATTGCAGATCTAAAATTGATACAGGGATGTGCATTCATCTACATAAAAAGGCACCACTCTACTCAAAGAAAAAAATATTGTTCTATGTTAGGAAATATCTCATCTCATGTGGGCTAAAGGTCTTCATACCTCAGTGATCACTTCTTCAATCATCTGACCTTTGACCTACTGTACTGACCTTTATGCTGTTTTCTTCAAGTAGCTGCTTTACGGCTTGACCTTTGGCATACTGCATAGGAGTATGACCATTCTCATTGGCTATCGTTGGATCAGCACCTAAAATATCCATAATAAGAAATGGTGTAAAAAGTGGGATCCAACATTATGAAAGGTACATGCATTCTATAATGGAAACTCTGTGAAGGACTGTATTTGTCTTAAATGTAGACAGCTACGGGTACATGTATCTGTGAAATAATGACATCTTTATCTTTTTATCTCTTCCTCCTCCATCTCTTTTCTATCCCCTCTCTTCCTCTCATGCTCTCTATTCTCACCTTCTAATATCAACATAAAATAAACAATACCATACCTGCTTCAAGTAGAATCCTGACAATATTGACGTCATTCGAGAGGACGGCATAATGGAGAGCTGTACAGCCACGGAATGAGGCTCTGTTGTTCAGTCTGTCACTGAAGTCATCCTCCCTATCATATAAAACTAGAACAAGAGAAATAAAATAAGGCTTTGTTATCAGGTCAGAGTAGAGTTTTGAATATTCCAATGATAAGACATGAAGTGGACAAAAGCAGGCATATTCAAAACCTTATCTGCTGAATAAGTGAAATGATCTTTAATTATATAGAAAATGCAGGAAGGGATTGCATAAAGTATCATCTCATATACTATACACTGCAGATGAAATTTCATTACTTCGTAATCACATTTCATATGCATCGACTACATTTATTAGTCAAATCATAGCTAATCCTAAATAAGCTCCTTGAATTGCATTTTAACCTTGTAATGAGTTGAGGCTTTTCTCCTGCGCTGTCTGCCACACACTGCTAAACTCATCTCCAATGTTTGGGTCTGCTCCTGCCTTGAGTAATGCTCTCAGAGCCCTGCAATTAGACAGGATGGAAAGAAAATGTTGAAGAGAATATCTGGAATGGATTCTGAGAAATCCATCTAAGCATACAAATGTGAATTAGACTGTCCAAAGTACAATCTTGTATCATTCAGAGTTGACTCAGTTAAACTGAAACAAAATTAATTCCCCTGATCTAATATCAAAGTGGTAATTTTAGGGGCTCAAGATTTCTTTAAAATAAACAAATTGAAGATAAACTGATTGTAAAAGATTAACTTCTTCATCTCACAGCTTACATCAAATTGTTATGTGGTTTATGTAGGCCTGTTAATTTTGCTTCACTCCTCAGATAAAGGATGACAAGAAGGCCCTGCTAAAATAAAAATAAAACATCACTGCCCTCATTTTCAATCTCTATTATGATTTCTATGTATACACCTTAGGGCTGGGGTGGTGTGAAAAACTTCTCTGACTTTGTTAATCTTACTTTTCATGTCTGTTGATAGTTGCTACATGCAAGGCTGTCCATCCCAGCTGATGTCTGGCATTCACATTGAACCCTGACCTCAGTAACCTACTCATGAAAGAAAGGAGGGGGAGAGAGAGAGGGGGAGGGGGAGGGAGATTGAGAGAGAAAGAGAGAGAGGGGAAGTGTGATTGAGAGAAAAAGAAAAAGAGAGGGAGAGAGGGAAACAGAAAGAGAGACAGAAAGAGAGAGAGGGGGGGGGGGAGAGAGAGAGAGAGAGAGAGAGAGAGAGAGAGAGAGTGAGAGGGTGGGAAAGAGAAGGCAGGAACAGGGAGATATTGGGCATGTAAAAGTTTCAACTTTAACAAACAATATGAAAATATCAGCATTACTCAAAGTCACAACTGGAGCACAGTTCCAACATAGAACTAGAACAACATACTTAAGACATTGTTGACATATACAATTTTGGAAATATTAACATTAATCATATTGAGTACAAGGAATCATCTCTCTTACAATCACATTATCCTTTCATTACGTTTTAGATTAACAAAACATAGGGTCATACATGTTGAGAGAACAATGAAGCACTGTAATTTTACTGAACAAACTACCTTGATAACCTCAAGGCTCAAACACACATTCATTGTAACATTGTAGAGAGTCAGATATGCATACTGTTATTTCTGCTTACCTGGATATTTCATCTACATCATCCTTTCTAGATGCAAGGAACCATTTTGCCTTCAGTGTATTAAGAAGAAATTACATTTCTTGAAATGAGATGTGCACTCCTTATGTACTAGTCTATGTGCTTTCAGATATCTATTGTACCGGTACATTTCAACCCTGCAGAGTGGTACTTATACTACTTGAATAAAAGTGTGATTTAATGTTCTTTCCTAACTTAACATGTGTTTGCAGACATCTGGTATTCAGTTTTTCCTTGTCAATATTGTGATTAACATTGTTCTTGATCTTGTTAAATAAATAAGTATTAATTTGCTATAATTTAAGCTACAACTTAGCCGAGATAATCACAAAAATTTGAATTATTTATGACCTTCCCTCCATTATTTCTATTAGTGATTTTATTAATTGATTATTGAGTTCAGTCTTTTATTTAAAAAAAAAAAAATGAAGATTAAGAAATCTAGTACACTGAAAGCTATGGATATATATTCTATTTTCTAGTCTAACTAAGAGTTGAAACTTTGAAATACTGTGCAACTTTCTCATTTTCTACCATCACATTGAATACTTCTTTAATTTACCCTACCACCAGCCTGGGGCTGGGAGTCAAGTCTGGGATGGTGGGACCATGGCCTGGGCCTGCACTTGGGGACTAGGTTACATATGTAATAATATGTAGACTATAACTTAACTGTTCATAATTTCCTGCATGTTTCATTGAAACACAATGACCTGATATTAGATGTGAGAAAGGACTTCCCCTTAAATTTAAATGTATGTTAAGGCCGATTCCAAGGCCAAGCATGAAGCATTACAGAATTACATTATTTTCCATTTCCTGGATTTCCAGAAAGACCTACAACTAAGTACAACAATATCAAATTCATGACCTTTCTTTCACAAGGTAATGTATTGGTGTTGGATTTCCTGTGATCAACCATTCATTGAATGTATAGTTTGTTACGGAGTGACATAGAAAGTAATTTTGGGTCATCAATGAAAAAGCTTAAACTAAAAAGAAAAGTGTAGAATCTAGTCTATACAAAATGAGCACCCGTAAGCTCACCAGCTTCGACAGACTCAGCACACGCCGCTACCGCCCCGAGGGCAATTGCTGCAGTGGCCCCTATTCCCGCAGTTCTGATACGCCATGTGGAATACAAACGATATAACTTCCTACTTTCATTGTAATACCTCACATTAATACAATTCTTAAGTGAAGATATTCTCCTAGAATTAATTATTTGTGAAAATTCACTCTTTTCGCAACTGATTCTCCGTAAACATGAAAGAAACAGACGCAATTTCATCACATTCGTGGAGACCATGGAGGCTGCCATCTTGAAATGTCGAGTTGTTACACCACTGATTAGATTATAAGAAATATTTATTCCAGATAAAACAAACAGCTTTACAATTAAAAAAATAACAAATTAATAAACAAACTTTAATTATAGATACTTAAAGAATAACTTAATAATTTATCATAAAATTTGAACTCGAAAAATAATTCCCTTTATCGTATGTAAACATTCCGCAACCTAATTTGGAATGCGAAGAATCCTGACCCGTAGGCGTGAGGTCATCCATTATCGGGAATCTCGTCTGAAAAGAGTGGAGGAGTGGCCCGTGTATCTCGCGCTCGTAATCGTATCCTAGCTCTACCGCGAGTAACCTTACTGCAACTGAGTGAACTTGATAATGTTTCAACTTTAGCTGGGATCTTTTGGAACTTATTGAACCAGTACGTGCCAGTGGCAATGACATGACCCGCACTTCATGAAGCTTCATGTTATAAAGTTGTTTAGATCTTAGAGCATCTAATTCTAAACAAGACGAGGCCGTGCTCGAGAGGAGCATTGATTTGATTTGAACAGATGCGGAAGGATCAACCGCTCAACTTCATTTCATGATTGAAATCTTTTCTGTAGTGTAGACTGTTAATGTTATCACTCAGTGACAGTGGTTTATAATAACACTTGGCAGTCAGTGAACTTCATTATTGTTTTGAAGACAGCCATCATTATGATCATCAACATGACTTTGTTGAAAAGATAACACAATATTCTTCTCTTCTTGTTTCATATGGACATCCAGTATTTTGGTCTGGAGAACTTTGGATTTGCTCCACAGTTAGTCGTGTTTGATTGACACCAGCACAGTGCAGTGAAGGAGAAGTTTATCAACAGGATTATGAATCACTTGAATGAATAAATACATAGATATTTAAGTGACTAATTGTCCAGGCATTTGACTTACTACAGTTGATAGACTTGCTTCCTAAAGAGGAGTTTTAGCTGAATTTGAAACAATTTTATACAACAATGGATGACATTTTTTCACAAATCCGTGATGGGAATGCAGTGTACGTCAGAGTTTGGTTGGACAAAGTTGAGAATGATCCAAACCAAGGGTAAGAATGGAATGCATGAAAGAACCGAAAGTTATTTCACAGACATGTGTCTATGAGAGGCTGATCAAATATAGAATTGTCAATATTTATGCTATGCCTTCAAATTAGTCATTAAAAATGACTCACCTGACTATTATTATTAAACAATTCAAAAAAATATCTTACTTGGGATGGTTTTGACTTTGAGACTTTAAAGTATTCATCTCAAATAAGATAGTATTTTTATGTTGAGAATTGATTTGTAGTCAATTAGATGCTTATGTTTTTTTAATAATAATTATTATACATCATATTTGTCTTCTTTTTATTGTATATGATGATAGGAAATTGGGAATGATTTGAGAAATGTTTGAATTCACTTAAAAACAAATGATTGCATGTATTGTAAAAATATGATAAAGTTTACAGCAAAGATATATTAAAATATCAAAGTCATGATACAATTTATAGGAATGCATGCATGCGTAATATTTACAAGCTCTTCATTTATTTCCTTAATAAAAAGTAAATTTATTTTCTCATAATTCAGTAGAAGAAAGGATCAAGGGATGGAACATTTTATTATGTACATGTACAGCATATGCATGTTTATATACCCGCTATATATTCTATCCCTGCCTTCTGAAAATAAAATGGGATATTGCTTTCTTTTCTTGTCCAGTACTACTGACAGGTTTGAAGCAAGTTAGGTACAGTGCATACATGTACATGTAACAGGGCCTTGAATACCTTCATATCTCCTTGGTTGCATTTAACAGAGTTAGATTGTTGTTTTAAAAAAAAAGGACAATCCCACCTGTGTACAATTAGTATGAAAGCAGAATAAGAGAAACAGATCATTTGCATTTTTAAACAAAATTGTCAATAATACATAGAGAGTTATGAACTTTTTTCAAAATGAGATCACTAAATCTACCGTATGCAAAATTCAAATTGGTGAGTGGATTGTGATGTAATCGCGGACAACTCTCCTGTTCTCATATAAATTTACCATTAACTTATGTTTTTCTCTTAAATACCTTCTCCCTCAAAATGTAGTATGGATACTGGATAGCATAGTATACAAAAGTACTCGTGTTCATTCTGAAATATTGACATTTTTGTCAATTTTGCATTTCAACGAGGAGGAAATTAAGTTGTCCGGCACTTTGTCACAGTGACATTGTCGATTCAGCCCATTTGAAGTGCCGATACATAAAAACATGTATAGTGATTACAACTTTAAAATAATTAATAACCTTCTGCTATTTTCTGGTTTCTTTTAGAGCAGTTGTTTATTATTAAGGCTCTGATAATTGAATGTACATACAGGGTCCTGTTAAGAGCTAAATTTTTTAGAAATCTATTTTCCCTCAAGTTTTAGAGACTTTTGTGTTTTGTATCTACTTACGTGCATATCGTTTCATGGCAAAGGTGTGGCTTAAAACACAGGATGTTTACCGGTATGCAAAACATGGCTCTATAGGAGACTTCATATTTCCTTTCACAAACCCATATCACATCTACATTTAGGCACAATATTTCCTGAACATTACCATACACATTACAGGAAACTGAATGTACATGAAATCAGTGCAGGTACTTGTAATGGCATACTGTACAATATACTTGTAGGCCCTTGAATGCTATGTATATTGTACATTGAATAGTACATACAGTAGTACAGTTTTGTACATACAGTACATATGAATAATCACCAACAATATAATGTTTTGAATGTGCATGTATGTAGCTTGTTAAAGATTTGAATTGGTATAGCATAATGATACATGTTCAGATATTACATGTATATGTGTGCATGTAATCATGATACCAAAGGAGATTGTAAAACAAAATTACAAAGACCAGCCATGAAAGCACTAAACATGGAATTCTATGAAATATCTCGTCTATTACAGTATTCAGTATTGTTTGGTTTACTACAGTAATATCATATCAATTTCCCTGTGATAGCTTACTGTATATGCCTACAGTGTATGTTCAATGATCACAGTAGGCATGAGCATACAGGCCTCCTGTGTCAGTGTGATGAAATTTCATCTCCCCTCCCTGGTAGTTTGCTGCTGGGAGGATGATAGAAGCCCGGCTTGTTAACTATCTTGACATGTGGGAGATACATCAATTCATTTTAAGGCTGATGATGTAGCAGCGATGGTATGCCAAGTATACAGCAGCCCTATCAGAAGCCCGCTTAAAGGGGGAACTGCCACGTAACCTACATGTATGTGTACATTGACATAGAGCGTTCAGGTCATGCAGCTATATTGTAAGGGAAAGAATAATGTTTTATGTACCGGTACATGTACTGTACACCCAGACCCATGTACTTTGTTTAGATTTCTTTGACAATGCTAAATGCATGTGAAACTTAGTTCTAAGTAAATAATGAAATGTGCTGATTTTGAAGATTTCTTTTTAATACATACATGTTCCAGAACTTCCAGCGTACAGTAATGAATTTAATCGTGTTAAGAATGCAGGTCATAATATGATCTCTTGATTGCCAGTGTGAGATAACATTCAGAACTTTTTTAGAACTTTTCAGTTTGTTTCAATTTTGACAAAAATGTGTTAAAATTTATGTTACAACTTACAATGTAATATTGTCATTACATACACATTTGTACATGTAGTTCATTGCACAGATTCA